AGGTCATAAACTATATGCGTACTAAAAGTCATCCAAATTTATTCAGCAGTTTTTGCGTGATTGAGTAACGAACAAACAAACATACAAACTTTCACATTTATAATATTAGTAGGATTGAGAATCGTTTAAATAGAGTACTTATGAAGAAGTTTATATTCGTGTGATTCATCGAGTACAACTGAATAATTTAAAAATATAATACTTTTATGACAAAATGACTGACTCACTTTTGCTACATATATGCCTATAATAGAGAATTTACATTTTAATTCCCTTATTGTCCCATTGAAAATCGTCTCGTGAACGGTTAACAACATCAAATACTTTTATGACTTTCTGCATTTCCGGTACCTTTAACATGAACCAAATGTTTTGCCTTGTCAATATCACACTCAGGTATTATTTTATCCCCCGTTTAGACCAAGGAACAAGTCATATACTAGTTTTACACAAAACTTGTGGAATACTTGTTGTAACTGTTTAAAATATCCTTTTCTTTACACTGCATAGATAACAAATATCTTTACAAGTATAATTCACTTATTTACTAGTATTTTTTTGTTTATCCAATAAGTTTGATGTAAGTATTGTATACTACATGTTTTATACATGCATATAAGTTTGAACAAAAAATGAAGACATTGTATAAAATTTGTTAAATTTTTATATTGTACCATGGTGTAAATGAGAGGTAAACCTACATATATATTATTTATATTGAACACATTATTATATATTGAACCAAACTTTCATAGAATTTTTAACACCCTCATTATACGATGATATTTCAAGTAACTATGTGAGGCATTCAACAACTATCACCTAATATCTATATATAAGATGAAAAGCTAATAAGTAAAAGCAGAGATTATAAAGCAGAAGATAAGAATGACAGGAATAGATTTAACAGTGGTGACATAGACAAGAATTGTAAATATAGATATTTACAAGAGTCTGTCTTCGACAATTCTTATGCTTAAATGGTTTAGGTGCTGACGTAAACAGCAGGTAAATAAAAGCCTGGTTGGTGGCAATTAACACCGCGGCATACGGCCGTGACGTCTCCCCGACCTAGACCTTGACTCCGCTTACTTCGGCAAACATATACTATACATACAATATGTGTACATGTTAACACTGCCTGGATGAATTTTCTTTTTACCACTGTTTTGGCAAGCGGCGGTGTTAGTTTTACTGACTCCAAAAAAATATTTCTGTACATTGCTTTTGACATTTGTAATTTTTAATCGTGTTGTAACAGTTTTGTTTGTTTTGAGTTAACAAAGTTTAGCTCGAACATAAAAAAATCCGAATAATGTCTTGGAAATACGTAATTAAACATAAATAAGCTAAAAAAGTTAAATAATATGTGTTTAATGTAACTATGCCAGCCTACCACCATACATCATCAACTGAGTTTTTGATAATATAGTAATCTTATTGTTTTTAATGTAATTTTCTTCGTTTCCCTATATTCACAGCCGGGCTGTATTAGCTGATACTTTGTAATTCTCTAACATTTATTTCTTACGATGAGCAATTTTAGTAATATTGCCAGTTATAATGATGCATGACCTGGGGGCCAATCGCCTAACTGGATTGCTTTGGAAAACGCTATCGCTTACGATTTCATTTTGTTATTTCTAACCGCCGAAATACCTCACGCTCATTTTCTTTAACATTGTTATTACCAATGCAAAAGAAAAAAAAAGAGCGCGAGTCATTTGAAAACCTCAGGGGGCTAGAAATAACAAAATGAAATCGTAAGCGATAGCGTTTTCCAAAGCAATCCAGTTAGGCGATTGGCCCCCTGACCCCCTTAAGCGCTCATAGTTTAACGTATAGGAATAAGAATGATAATATATCGTATTTTGCCCAAGTTGGTCGCATTTAATAAATATCCTCGTTTAATACGGCAAAAACTATAAAATTGGCCATTCTTCTATTGCGTTACACCAATTAACTTAACTCACCACGACAGGTTCTTATGTAAGCTTGCGTTCTTTCTCGATTCTCGCTTGTTATTCGTCAAAAACCGCACTTAAACCAGTTTGACGGTGGGGGGATTTCCTCCTCGGCCTCCTATAATTTGTTGACGACAACCTTCAAAAATCAGTGTTGGTCGTAAACTACACAAAAGGTGTTAAAATTTATGTAACGATATCGCTCCTCCTGTACACTACTAAACACTATCCCTTATGAAAGGATATCCTGATCATTGACTCGACAGCTTGTTCCCATCACATTTATCAATAATTAATGTAGTCGGAAGATAAAAATAGACATTGTTGGTTTTTTCGGACACAAAAATACCATTACGCACTGTATTATCAAATCCCGTTGTTGTTTTTAAAACACTGAAATTATTCGAAAAATGTAATCTTGTATCAACAAAATCATCCATAGCTGGAAAAGGTCAATGATCACGGATTGCAAAATCTTAAAATAAAAAAATCCTTAGATAAATATAATTATGTTATATCATCGAGAAAGGAGTGGACCGTATGTGTTTATTCAGGGCCAGACCGTGAGTTTAGGGGGCCCTGGACTAATACTACTTAGTGGCCCACTTAATTACTCAAAGTATAGATAAAATGGGACAGGTAACTATTTAATTTAAATTATAATATATTATGCCTTAGTGTTATACAACCGTTAATAAATGGACAAATCACAAAGCAACCTTTCTGCAAAGTGCAGAAATGGCAATTTTTTTAATTTGCTCCTCACATTTTAGGGGTAATATAAATGGGGTTATATTCAACAATGTATTTTTTCTACATTAAATTTACTTATAACCATTGTATGTACTGCTTTATGACTTAGCTGGGGGCCCTTGAATCCACGGGGCCCAAAAAGCCATATGGTAGAGCCGGCCCTGTGTTTATTTAAAACACAATAATGAAAAGATAAAACCGTGTCAAGCAAGCCACATAATATTAATGATACATAGGCATTCACAATTTACTTGCTCATGTACCTACTACAACATAATTATATTTCTATTTTATCTGTTTCGGTTATAGTGAGTGTTTACCAGTTTCTAAGGAATTGAGGGTAGACACGTTGCGCCGTGCCCCATCTTCAGCACTTATCTAACAGATAGACGTGACCCCGACCTGCCCCGCCTTGCTGATAGTGCTGTCTTCGAGATGTTTACATCTAATAGACTGCTGACCGATTATACCATTACATTACAAATCTCACAATCTGTCAAGTGAAAGATTCTGACTGGGGGCCTATTCGGACATCCGGCGAAGCGCGGCATAACTAACTTCGTGGAGTTCCGATCATAGCCGTCATCTTTACGTGGGGAGTGGCATAAGTAGTTGCTCGATGTGAATATTCTACCTACAATTAGTTTTTTGTGAGCAAATGTTCATGCATGACATGACACTTGAATCTTAGCGACTTATATTTGCTCGACTGCTCCATCCTCTGCAGTTGCAATTAAAATGGCGGACGTTAGCGACTTATTTGTAATTAATGTAAAATTCAGATCGTCCGCTAGCAAAAATAAAAAAATCGACAGCCTAGTGGATTGCTCTCGGGTGTTTGGGGCTCGAAATCAAGCTGTTCGGCTTGCTGTACTGATTTTCCAAATAAACCACTTGTAGCGTGCTCTCATTGACTGAGTATCCATATATCCTTTGTCGTACATATTTGGGTTCAAATTATGCACGATCACATCGCAGTATACTAACGCCAATGTAGCTGGCGCTTACAAAATGTTGTTATGGTCATATCGGCATTTTTTTTACGCTTAGATCTTATTTGATTGAATAATATGTTATTGATATTTAGTGCGTAGGCTCGAGATTTGTTTTTAATCTGAGAAATATTCATAGTTTAATCATCCAAACTCCCCTTTGAAGAACATATAATAGATTTTCGCTTTAACTTAATAACATATCGAACGCAATATCCGCAAAAACATTGCTTTGCCAGCTCACGTGTTCGCTTCCTCCTATAACCCGGTATCCTTAAAAAAGAGGCGTGAAGAAACAATATGCATGCCGGCAAGGTGAGGATGGCTGGTGTGGCAAGTAGAACTTCTGTAGATACCAGCTATCTTCGCGCCTGGACTCCACCGTTACTTAACATCAGGTCATCTGTCGGACCTACTTTTGTGACTGTATGACTGTTTATTTTATGCGGTTCATTTTAGTCCTAATTTTATACCTATATTTTTTTTGATTATAATTTTTTGATAACTTTCCGTCCGTATTAGAGCAGCTTTGTACTGCGTACAATATAAATAATTATAACTCTTGTTATTATAAGATAACATAGCGAAAAATCAATCTCATTAAAACGAATATTAGGAGCTCATTAAATAAAACTAGTTTTAACGGGTTAATGCACGAAACTTTATTTATTTCTGTTTCTTGCTTCGTCAGAATGATTTTTTATTTAATAAAAAATCATTCTGACGAAGCAGACCTGAAAAGGCTGCGAAACATCAATAAATAAATAATGTTTCTGACGAAGCAAGAAACAGAAATAAATAAAGTTTCGTGCATTAACCCGTTAAAACTAGTTTTATTTAATGAGTGATGTGCGTGAAAACCTAAGAAACAAATTAGGAGCTCTTGCTTGAGTTTTGGGTTTATATTTTTAAAGAAGCAAAGGTGAAAATTAAATATGTACAAATATTTAATGGGTAAAGAAACAAGAACTTTAAGGTAAAACTAGATATTAATCTTATTACATCGTTGCCAGATTTACAAATTACAATCTTTTCTTTGACCGACATAGTAACCGTAAAATAGGTTTATGTACAAAGGAATGTTTTCGAACAGTCACCGTGCAAATCTTGTTGCGAGCTGCTACCGCAAAAGGGTACGCAATTACGTGTCTTCGCAACAATAAGTTAACAAAGGGACAAAGAGTGTTCATATGTTTATACTAACAGACAGTTAATTAGTCATTTGCGAGTTGCTATAGTATTAAAGTAATGGCAAAAGTTTCAACTTTGTCAGCTGCTGCCAAATGAGTAGGCATCGAATGCGCATCCGCTGCAGTTCCGATAAGAGGTGAATCAGCCGTACGCCGAGCTGGGTGTCTCCATTCGCGCTGATCCTGTGTTATTGAACAGGTCATTCATATAGTCGATCCTAAACATGCACTCAGCGGATTTTCATTGAAACGGATGTTGTTAAACATCGGCGATCAACATTAGCTGTCAGTAATAATCGTGTCGCGGTCGTGGAAAGTCGTGCCGTTTGCATCCGTAACTCTTCACCCGACTCCGTCCTGGCGTTCTGTAAGCAAGACAATCGCGAGCTCACTTGTGGACAATTAGTGAAAAAACCTAAACATTAACCAGGAAACTACGCTATCTCAGTTGCTGTTCAAATAATATTTGCTTTAGTTTTCGAGTTTTTACCTAAATTGTAGTGAATTAGCCCACAAGTTTAGCGACAGTAATAGTGCAGTGATACCCGCGCACAAAATTTTGAAGGATAGACACAATACTTTGGGCTGTTATGCCACCTGATTGTGAATGATGTGATTTTATCGTCGTTATCGGTAACGCCGGTGACCATTTCGTACAGTTGTTGATAACTGTCGAGGGAGACGCGCGTGTTGGAAGATGCCAGTGCTTGGTTACGACATTATGGCATCGCAGGACCTGTGCATGATGGGCTACAACACCCCATCAGATTACGTTCTGCCGCCCGAGTGGGACAAAGCTCCAGAGCACGATTACCCTGGGTACTGCAGGAACAATACGGAACATAGCAAACACGTCTCAATGAAGTACAGCGAAGGTTAGTTTACGACCAGTTATTATTTAGTTATTTACTGCCCTTTTGTTGGACTGTGATAATTGTAATAATTTAGTGTCAATGTTGTGTCAGTCGATATGAATCATTTCATTTATTAGCATTATATTATGTTCATGCTGATACTTACATGTATAAAAACTTAATTATTGTTTTCAAACATTTGCTTCATAAATATTCTACATGTCTATTTATTTGATCGTAAAAAGGTTAAATAAATAATAATAAATATTTCCAACACTCACACCAATTAGCCTAGCCCCAAAGTAAGCACTGTAAGGTTTGTGTGTACATATATAAGTATATTTATATAGAAATACATATTAAACATCCATGACTGGAGTACAAATGCTCGTATTCATCACACAAACATCTGCCCCCACCGGGATTTGAACCCGGGACCTCTCGAGTCGGCGACACCATGAAACCCGGCGTACAAACCACTCGATCACGGAGGTCGTCAAAGAAATAATTAACTTTCTTCTATCGAAAGTTCTATCTTCAAAAGCTTATCCGGTTCGTGATGAAGTTGTTTTTATAAATTAAAGCTATATTTTCCAATGAAATTGGTACAACAAATAAGATTATCGTGTTTGTGTACCATTTCAAGGATTTGATAATGCTATCATCAGTTATCAGTCAGTGATATGTTTACGAATTACTATTTCAGTCTCAGTCTTGTGTTTGTATGGGCTAAATGTCTCAGTTTTTATCATAATTATTTCCAAATCCAGTTTTATAACATTCATAGCTTTCACTGGAATCACGTGCTAGATTACCTCCCAATTCTTCTCTCTCTTCTCTTCTGTGTAAACTTTTCTATATTGGCACGAGTCTGGGCAGCTATGGTAGCTTCAATAAATTAATTTCCATATCGTTATAATATATTAATACATAACATAATAGTTCTATATGTATTTATATATATATATATATATATATATATATATATATATATATATATTTATAGATAATCAGTATTATATGTATTCTATCCGTTACCCCAGTATCCCCATAACACAAGCCTTACAGTGCTTACTTTGGGACTAGACTAATTAGTGTGAATGTTGGAAATATTTATTTATATGTTTATACGATAGTTATTTGCAACTGCTTTTGGTGATGATATGGTCTATTATTATATGGGCATTATCTACTATCTTGATATGAAAATAATATTATAGTCGTTGTGAAATTATATATAGCTACAATAGTTATATGGTATTTGTACGTCAACAGACTTTTTTGTTCAATAAGGCTCACCATAAATGATTAACTTTTTTGCGGTAGAATGCGCCATGGTTTGGCTATGACGTAAAACTATGTATTTATTTATAAAATTATAAGCACAAAACTTACTCTCCTTGTGATGATATTGTAGACGTATCTGATATGGAAACATAAGAAATAGGTGTATAAACAGGAACCTGCATCTTTTTCAGGATAAAATGTATTCTTATTTTAGAAATCTAGTAGATTTTTAAGGTTTTGTTATATAAAAGTACTCGATAAATTAAAATACTTATTAAATACTAGCAAACCAGTGAACCAAATGTTCACCAAAACCTGATTTAAAAAAAAATGTATTTAATTAATTGAGAACTTCGGAGATTTTGTGTGGTTTCCTTTCAAATTCGTGATTTCTCGAAAACCGGAAGTGCTACGTTACTCATATCCGGTTTGTAGTCTTATCAGACTATTCTTAACTTATAACTTAAATATTCTCTTTATCTATCTCTTACGGTTTGGCCGCTGTAACAGCACCACAGACGGACGGACGGACTTGTCTATAAGAGATTAGTGGGGTACTTTACGTTAGCAAACGGATATAAACTTTCACGTACCTACAAACAGGCGCGGTCGCAGCCTGAAATTTAGGAGGGGGTCACTCACTACACTAATAAAAAAAACCGGCCAAGTGCGAGTCGAACTCGCGCACGAAGGGTTCCGTACACACCTGAATTTTCAAAAATATTTTTATTATATAATGTAACTAAAAATTTACGGTTTTCGCAATTTTTCCTTTATCTGTACTATTAAGACGTTACTTCGTACCAAATTTCATGATTCTAAGTTCACGGGAAGTACCCAGTAGGTAGGTTTTTCCCGTGCGAGTTTCGAAAATTTGCAGAAATTTGCGGCATAAACGGCTGTATCTTTTGATTGCTTTGGCTTAGAAGTTGATTTTTTTACAGCTCCGAGGGACAGTAGACTTGAGTATTAGATATGAATTACAGTTTGATACCTAAACGCGGTCGTGAGAAAAACGGTCTTGACTGACGGACGGACGGACGGACAACAAAGTGATCCTATAAGGGTTCCGTTTTTTCTTTTGAGGTACGGAACCCTAAGAATAGGTATCTGGAATATAATAAACATTATTGCACAAGGCACAATTTTATTTTATCAATACTTATAAAACAAAATGGTAGTCGTCTTTTTGTATTTGCGAATCGGGTGATAATACTGGAGAGGGCTGGTACTATTTCCGGGTGAATGTTGTTTTTGTCCATATATCAAATATAATTTATTGTCTTATTCGTTTTATAAGATGAAAGGTCGTATGTGCGAAATAACATTTTGTTATTTGTAACATCATTCCAATTGTGTGATAGCTTTTATTAGGTTCAACTTAAACTGTTTAAAATATTTGTCTTTGTTCATTTTGGAATCGAATGTAACTGCATAATTTTAAACATATGCGGACAGTTTTTAGCTTTGATTTTGTAGTTGCATACAATTTATCTATAGAATTGTTGATCGAAGTGTGTTCCTAACAACCTATTGTAAGATTACTATCGTAAAACTAATTTGCGTCTATCAATTCTAAACGGAGATGTATTGACTTATTCCTTAATTACCAGAGCAATCGATAAAATCCCTTTTATTATTATATCATGAGGAAATTCTGAGATTAGAAATGTTGAAATATTGCAGTACATATTTATATACGGATCTCGTTATTAAAATTTGGATGGACGAAAAGACATATAGTCTTTTCGCTGACCTTACTCAATAAATCTAATCCCAATAACCCGCCTAAATTGAACAACACCGCATTGTATTGTTACGAATATGACATAAAGTGGCTATGCCGAAGCTACATTGTGTTGTTGGGTATTCTACCCGATCAAACGTATAGCTTCAAAATAACACCTTTAATTAGCAACAATAATATTATGGAGCTACAGCTCCGTTCGTATTTTCGGAATCATTTTCATTTCATTAGTGCAGTTGCGGCACGCAGTCTGGAATCGTGCTTGGTATAGCACCCTTACCAAGGTTCCTCTAGATTTGCTGAAAACCGTTTTTCTATTGAACGCTATTCTCTTTCTGCTTTTATTTAGGTATTTGTGTATAAGGAGGACTAGCAAGCTTCTCAAAATGCTTTTGCATATTTAACAAAAATTTTCAATCATAATTATGATCATTATGTGTAAATTTACACTATGTAAATTGTAATGATAATCACCGGTCTTGTAGTCTTGTTCCTGTACAATTTGCTCAATTTTCTTTTTTATATGTACTATAATATTAATTTATTCAACTAGATAAGACATTATTTGAATTTAAATCATTAAGTAGGTATTCCTTTAATTCACTTTTGTTTGTTGATTTTACGATTTTTTTTGTCTAGATATTTATAAAGTATTTTCGACCGCCATTAGTGTCATCAGATATCCTTTTTGTTGCTTGCTTAGTCTAAATTTTATCCACTCTACAAAACCAGTTGGACACGTTTGCAATGGTTTTGCGTAAGTATACGACTGTCATAACTTTTTTTATAACTCTAAAATGACATTGTTAAATATAATTTAAACTTACAACTTATTACCACAAAAAAGTTAGACATGCGTTCAACACGAGTTTATGAAAAAAATACATACAAAATTTGCCTAAATAAGGTTTGAAACCGGGTCTAAGTTTATGTAGTAATATCAACAAAGTTTATATCGCTAGTAATTTTATCTAAATAAATAAATATATATGTTTGATTACGAAATAAGCCAATTGTTATTAAATAAATTAACAAACAGAAAAGTATGTTTTTCACAATTAATATTAAGAATACACACACCTACATCTATTATGTATTCTGTACATAATAGATGCCTACATACAAGAGCTTCTGAACATGATCTGTACATTGAGAGGCTTTTACTATTTATACGCCAAAAAATCTCTTATTATCATATCTTTACAGCTATCTTTTTATTGATTGTTACTGTGTACTAACTTAAAATTCTATTATTTTTTTACGGTTTTACATAACCTAATCTGCTGTGTCTTATGTATATAGTCTACAGGTAAAATACAATTTTATCTACCTCAACTGAAATTTGAGTAGGATTGTGCAAATGCCATTGGTCTGGTGTTTTTCTTTGATAGTGCTATAATCGCATTAGAAATAAGCCTAAGTTTATCAAAAAGGATTATCATAATTGCGTAATAGATTCTTGACTTAGATATGACTACAAGTATTAGTTGAACAAAAAAAAGTCTGGCCTCTAGAAATGGGTTTATTGATAAGAGTTCCGAAACACTAAGTTAATGAAAACTGAAGTTTAAAATTACAATAATCATAATCAAAATCATTTATTCAGAGGCTGTTACAAGCACTCATGAATGTCTAGAAGTTACGCCATCGGTTCGTGAATCTACGGCGGGAGACCTTTGACTGAGAAGAACCGGCGAGAAACTCAGCAAGGGGCTGTTTTTTTCTCCTTGTTTTATTATTTACAGAGTCGTCAAATTGAAAATGACTACAGAGATGATTCATGAAGTCACCTTTCATTACATAATGATTAAATATACATTAATTGTTAACCTGCATTTTCTTTGCTGTGTCATAAAATATAAATACAAATAGTGTTATTTATATGAAGTTTAACTAGACATCAACATCTTCAATATCAAGGAAAAACTACAAGCTAAAGAAAATGTACATAAAAATCAAATATTTCTATCACACACATCAATTAGCCTAGCGGTAAGCCCCAAAGTAAGCACTGTAAGGTTTGTATTATTAGATAGGGTCACTGTTAGAAATATATAACCGGGATTCGAATACACTACCTAAGAGGAGGCGATACCTTGAATCGGTGTATAGATGTCGTAGGATGATTTGATAAACTGAATTTAATCTAGGGATTTTGTGAAAACGCGAATAATAAGTTCTCCATCTTGCTGCTTACGATTTTTTTCCAGTGCTCGCCGGTCGCTGCCACGACACGCTCGCTTCGCTCGCTCGACTCGCGCGTCATGGTCTACCTAACATAGTGTGAACCCATAAACCCAAAAATATTTATAATAGTGCACTAATACGGACTGACGTTGTTTATAATATTTTCATCTCTTGTTTCAGACAGCGACATTCAGCTAGAGACAAGCAGCAGTGAGGCGAGTGCGGCGAGTTCCACGCCTCTGTCGCAGCACTGCGCGATATGTGGCGACCGCGCCACCGGCAAGCACTACGGCGCGTCCTCGTGCGATGGCTGCAAGGGCTTCTTCAGGAGGAGCGTCAGAAAGAACCATCTGTACACTTGCAGGTCAGTGCCCGTACCATTCAATACAGACAGCTATATTCCGCTAGAGAGAGTTTCACGCTGCAGTCGCAGCACTGCGCGATATGCGGCGACTGCGCCATCGGCAAGCACTACAGCGCGTCCTCGTGCGACAGATGCAAGGGCTTCTTCAGGAGAATTTTCAGGAAGAACCATCTGTACACTTCCAGGTCAGTATCCGTACCATTCAATACAGACAGCGACCTTCCGCTACAGAGATTAACACGTCGCAGCAGTGAGCGATATGCGGCGACCGCGCCACCGACAAGGACTACGGCGCGTACTCGAGCTGCGGCTGATATTCAGCTAAAGAGAGTTCCACGCCCATCTTTAATACTAAGAAGAGACTATTTATTTTCATTTTTTTCATCTACTTTTTATTATTATGTTTATTTAGTTTTTTACATATATACCTCCTACTTATCTTACCCATAAAAAGTAATGTGATAACGACGTACGGAAATCCTTCATGTCCGGTCTCTCTGACTAGCATATTTGGCCGGTTTTAAAACCTTATTGTTTTTAATATAAAACTTTTTCTTTTACAGATTCAGCAGAAATTGTGTGGTGGATAAAGACAAAAGAAATCAATGTAGATACTGTAGATTAAGAAAGTGTTTTAAAGCCGGCATGAAGAAAGAAGGTGAGTGGAATTTTATCATATTAAGTATTACCTATATCAAATTGAACAGAATAATAAGAAACCATGAGGAGCTCTATGTCATAAGTGGTTAGTGCGATCGGCTGCGATCGTTGAAGTTAAGCAACTTTCGAAGTGGTCGGTCATTGGATGGGTGACCAAAAATTTACTATCACGAGCTCCTCCGTGCTTCGGAATGTATTTTAAGCTGTTGGTCCCGGCTGCATTTGCAGTCCTTAGCACCCACCAATCGCACTGGGCCTGCATGGTAGTTCATGGCCCAATCTCCCTATTCTATCCACATACAAAACCTGTGCCCCAGCAGTGGGGACATTCATAGGCTGATGATGATAAATAACAAGGGATAATATTATGCCACTGTTTTAGATTAAAAATATTTGCAAACTAACTGAAACTTATTTTTGCTTTACTCTTTCTCTTTATTTTTTTTTATTTTCTTGTAAATATTACTTTGCTAGCTGAATTCTTGTTAAATATTAACATTTTACACGCCTGTGTGTTTAACATTTAACGTGTTTCTCTTGTATGGTACTTACGTGGCTTTACGATTTGTTTTTAAAATATATGATAGGTATACTTTCTTACTTGTTTACTTGTGCATCAGTCAGTTTTATCTAAACGTTCGTTACCTCATATCTTATAGACTGTTTGAGCTAAAATAATATTTACGATACATGGATACACTAATTATAACTAATGTAGCTTCGCCATCTTTAATAAGAATTTTGTAATTTTAAGGTTTTTCTAATGTAAAACTACTATCACAACACTAAATGGCAAATTAAAAAGTTATTAGGGGCAAGCCATTCAAAAGAAGCTAGTTTTCAATGTTTATGTCCTTCGTCAAGGTACCCTTTATCCTGTATATGTATACTTTACTATTGTAAAGTACACATGAAAAATTGTTTGCAAAAATTTCAATTCAATTCATTCAAAAGTCTATGAAAAAGAATATAAAATATGTAACTATTCTAAAAAGAAATAACGATTCCTTCACCAACAAAGAAATTTAGTGACTCATTATTTGGCGTACTATTCGCAAGTGGAAATCTTTGACCGCGCGCGTGTGGGCCCTCCTCCTTCCTACAATCTGCGATCCTTTAAAATAGGCATGAAGCAGCATATCTGCAGGCCGGCAAGATGATGATGGTTAGTGCGTCAGATCATACCTGTTGCACCATCTTCGCGTCTGACTTTACCGCCCCTTAACATCAGGTGCGGTAGAGTCATTTGACTGCCTACTTATTAAAAAAAACTATCGCCATTGCGCAATTCTCATATCACACGTTTTCAGCCAAACGTTAATCTTATCTTATTCAAGAATTAAAGAAACGGTAATATATAAAATGCAATAGGATTATTAAATCGGCAAAAGAAAAAAACTTATGTTCTAAATTACAGATACATACGATTAATTTAATTTATGTGTATGTCACCGGCAATCTGTATAATGCAGGTATTATATACAATGCCTAAATGTAAAGAATGCCTGGGGCATCTAGGCAATGTATGAAATATCTTATATATAAAATTCCCGTGTCACAATGTTAGTTACCATACTCCACCGAAGCGGCTTGACCGATTTTTATGAAATTTTATATGTATATTCAGTAGATCTGAATTGACTACTATGTTTTTTTCATACCCCTAATTGATAAGGGTTGTCCACCACTAACTTTCTTTTAGTTTTTTTTATAATGTGGCATCAAAAATATACAGTATACAGTGACAGTTGACCCATCGGGAATGTGTAAAATAAACAGATTTAGCCTGTATTTATCATAACCAAACCCATAGGCTAGGTTGGGTTTGGTTGCATATAAAATGACTAACGGATTTTATAATTCTTACCGAATGAATTGCAGACCAATGAACGTTTGACTAACTCACAGTGGATTAGATTAGGTTATGTGTTGTGACCTAAACTTAGCTACCTGATAGATAATAGATAAATAAAACAAGGAAAAGTCTGTCGCGCTGTCTTCTCTTACACACATTGCCCACTGCGCACTCACCATTGTATAGAATACCTGGGCAAAGTATAAAACGAATAATATTTCATACAGTGCCTTGACGTTTTTGGCATTCTATACATTGCCTAGGTATTGTATAGAATTCTGAATTATATAGATTGCCGGTAACATATACAGTTTAAGTTGTAAGTGTAGGTTTCAAGTTTCTGTTACAAAATAGCTTATGTACATAAATAGTATTTATTTGAAACGTGCATGGTGATTAGCAGAGTAATCAGTAAAGAGGATCACGTGGTGATACTTCACAAAAAAGGGTAGCAATTAACGGAGCACCCGATAGAATGATTTACGTTTAAATTTGTTAGTTTTTTTTTATTATTGCATTATCTAGTATCGGATTTTTGGTCGCATTTGAGCGGCCGCTTAGGGAAGCAAAAGCAACTTCCACCTTACAGAGAAACGCAGTGAAAGATAACATTAATTTCTCGTCTGCGTCTGTATCGATATTATTATATTTGCTATTTCTGGGTAAGCTTGTCCCTTGGGCGACCTCTATGCCTTCGAGCTAGATCGAGGTCATAAAGGTCAAGAAAAATTTAATCCATCCAGCAATGACGACAAAATATCGCTCTTATTGCTATGCCATTAGGGTGCCAGTTGTGTCAAATCACGCCGCCCTGTTCATTCGACAGCGAACTATCAACCAATTCTGCTACTTACTACTGCCTCATTTTGCGTCGCAAGTTGAATATTTATTGTGACATAATTATGTAAACATGAAACTTATTGCTGCGCGCGCGCAACACAGTGTCAACCTACCACACTAGCATGCTCTTACTGTCACACGTATGACAAACAAACAGTAGAAAGATTTATGTTCTCTTTGTTCGATAAAGTATACATATCGTGGTTCACCAGCTGAAGTTATCACGGGGAAAGCAGGAATCATTGTTTTAATGATTTTAATGAACCCAGCAGCCTAATTACTCATACAAACAACAATTCCGTCACGAGGCAATTCTAATAACTGCAAATAGACGTAATACCGCGAATATCACAAAAGCTATATTATTATTTCCTATGTTTTGATCTTAATTTAGTGTTTTCCTAGAGTTTTCTTTGGATTCAACCTTATATTATAATTAAATCATTCATTTTAAAGGACATTGTTCTGCGTCCATACATAGTTAGCCTAAGAACCAACAATCATGAAATATTATTTTGTAGGTTCGAATACGCAAGTAAATGACTGTAAAAACAAAGATTATTGACGGACACTTCTGAGAACTTAAATTATTAGGAAAACTATTTTTTTTGAGGTTATGTTTAATATTAAATGAAACATAGCTCAACCTATGAACTCAGTATGAAGTGAATTAATATTACTACTAATTCATTTTATTTGGACTTGGTTAGGTAGGAATCATGAATAAAATAAAAACTGTAGTTTTGCTTCTTATTTATTGACTAGTTTTCACATAATTTGTATCATATTGTATTTATTTGTATATCATATGTATATTGTGTAAATATGCAGCGTGAATGTGTATCAGGTACTCTTGAATAATTTGGCAGTATGATCCTTTCAGGATATTGTGGCACAGGTTCACTAGCACTTGGTAATAAGGTCTCTGCTCTTTGGTAACATCGATGGCTTATTAGACAGCCGAAATAGTTATATTAAAGGAAAAACAATCGCAAATAAACACACACAACAGGTAATCCGAAACAAGAATGCACGAATGCCACAGATTACTACGAATGCAAACTGCCTGCACCACAACCACAGAGTATCGAGTTTTATGCCGACCCTTCACTTGACAATAGTTTGTCCTTGTCATGCTTAATAAGGAATGAAAAGGACAGACTGATGTCAAGTTTTCAAATAGCAAATACGAATAGCCTAGTGAAGTGCCGGAATTAGGAATAAAGAGTGTTTTGTTTGCAGCGCTGTCATAGATTATACATATAAAATGGTATTTATTGGTTCAGATTATTTTTTAACTTTTTAATTTAGCTTAATTAACTGGAAGTGTCCGTCACAATCTAAATACTAATAATTATCGTAAAAAATATACTAAGAATTATCATAAATGCCAAATTGGTGTTGGTTCTTAGGCCAATTTTAACATTGTCCTTTATTTATGTTCAGACCAATTGGATTTAATTTCCGATTGTTTGTCATCAAATCAATTTACATTATGATCGGTATACATTATATTCCCAAATGTACAATTTCAAAAAAAAAAACGTTAAAGCTTGGACCGACTTTTTGGGAAAATGCAACAAACAGAATTAAATATTGAATATGGCACTATAATATAGTTATTGTTTTAAACTAAATACATAAATACCTACACCTAAACGTAGGTATAACATGTAAAGAAACCGGTTTTCAAGGTAGAGTTTAGTGCTGCCATTATTAAGACCCAACTTTTTTATGTAATAATAATTCTTGCTACAGAAACATGACCTTATTTACAATTCAAATGAAGGACAGATCATATCGTCCCGTGTCGCTTTTATAGCTTTTCCGTAAGAACGTAAGCTATGCGTAATTTTGTTTCCACGCTTTGTTAGCTTAAATTGTAATGTTTTTCCTACTCCTATCTACATAGTTATTCGAAATTAAATTGTAAAATGACATTGTAGGCCTACTAGGTATAACTGATTTTTCTTTTATAACTTCTTTTTTATTGTATTTGGTAGTTTCTGAACCGAATGTTAGGTTTTATTCCATTCAAAAAAAAGTAAATTATGTTTCTATGTCCATTTTGGTGAAAAATAACCGAATATTCTTAAAATTTAACTAGACGCAAATGATTTAATGTAAGAATTTAAACACTGTTTATTAGTATTGAAACGAAAACAATAAAATCAGTAGGTACCCTTAGCACGAGTTCAGCTCACGAAAACTATCATAGTTTCCGTAATTGTAAAACTCGTACTAAGGGTACAGAACTCCTTACATATGCGCCCAGCCTTAATATAGAAGTATCATTGTTACAGCCGTGCAGAACGAACGAGATCGCATCAACTGCCGGAGGCCTTCGTACGAGGAGCCGACGCAGGCCAACGGACTGTCCGTCGTGTCTTTGCTTAACGCTGAGCTTCTCAGCAGGAAGGTCATTGATGAGGTGCGTTGCGTATCAAGCTTCCTCTAATATGTTACGGACGTTTTCGGAACTTGAGGTGCATATGGCGGCTATCCATCATTTTTAGGGTCCCGTACCGCAAAAGGAAGAAACGGAACCGTTACAGGATCACTTTTTTGTCTGTCTGTCAAGACCCTTTGTACTCAGTTTAAGGTCCCTTGAATCTGTGACAAAATCAAACTTTTAAGTTGACGAGGATAAAAGATACGGTCGTTTATGTTGCGTATCTACAAATTCCTACGGAACCCTCAATGGGTGAGACCGATTCGCGCATTGTCTTTTTTTTTAATAACTGAGATTCTTGGTATCTGTTGAAATTCTGTTTGACCAAAGCAATAAGATAATAATAGTAATAATTACTAATAGACTAACTTGAATCACGATACATTGCAAGTTGACATTTGAAAGATGTTTACAAACCGTGGTTTATTTATCGAAATCAATTTTTAATAATCTTTATTAAGTATCATGCAATATTAGGATATGTACACAAGTGCTTCTAACTTAAGGGTCGGATAATTTGCGAGACAGATAAAAAAGCATCAAAAGAGCATTGTCATCATTACAATGTCGTAGCGATTCCGAGGGCATTATTTTATCTCCTTTTTTGTTAATGACGTAAGCAAGACAGGCTTTCAACGCTGATGGTGGTTCCCAACCAGTCAAATCTAGTTCTTAGCAACGAGTTTAATAAAAAAATATCAGATAGCGCCATATCGATCCGCGTTGGTCTTACTATCGTAAAACTCTATTTGAAAGATAAGAAACGGACGTATTGTATGCGTTTGTTTCTCACCAGACATTTTGAAAACGACTCTAATCTAATTTAATCCTTAAGCTTACGTCAATTATAGGCAATATCTTAAAATCGAGTGAAAGTAGACATAATATAATCATCATTATTTGTCACACCTTTGACGCTCTTCTGGCTCACCATACGCGCCCTTAATATGAAAGGGATAGTTAGCTACTGCTACCATACTCTAACATTTAAATGTAATAAATTGGCAACATAAATAAAAACAAAAATACCGATCTCAATTCGGTTTTATCGAAAAATATCTCCGCTGTTGTACTTTCTTATAATATAAAAGTGGAGACTTTTTGACCGGATCGGGTCGACAGTGGCAAAGGTCTGGAACGATACTAAGTCGAAAACGTCATGATCAGGAATAATGAAAATAGTTAAATAATCACGCTTTACACTAGCTGACCCGGCGAACTTCGTACTCTTAAAATCGGAGTATGACCTATTTGACTATTTTATGATAGATTTAATACAACAGATTTTTATTTAATTAATTATTGGTGTGCATGAAAACGTAGGAACTGGACTTTATCAGCACTTAACATCGGGTTGGGTAGAGTCATTTGCCTACCTGGCTATAGATATATAAAAAAGAAACAAATGTGCTTTCAATTATGAAAGTCAAAGTTAGTGTAGAGTGCGATTCGCGGTGTGAAGTTAATAGCGAGCGCAACTATGCGCAGCTTTCAATTCGGTAACATCCTGCGCGTATCTACAACACCCAAATTTTTGTTTACTGCCCTGAAACGTGCGCTAATTTCATATTGAGTTTTAATCACACTATACTTCCATGTAGGTGGCACAGGGGCCGCTCACAATATCGACTGTCGCTGTATCGAAAACGCTCCATCGACGGGTTAATAATTCGACAGTAACGCAAATCGATGACACGCTACATCGTCAGTACACAAAATGGATAGCACGCTAATATCGACAGTACACCATCAAGAAAACTCCATTCCTCTTTAATAAAAACAATATCTGGGTTAGGTGAGGTTAGTGTTGTGACCCTTCGCGATGGCGCATCGCCAGAAAAAAGGGCTTTGATTAGTATTAGTTTTAGCGTACCATCATTTTGGGGTACTGTCGATTCATTAACCCGTCGATGGAGCGTTTTCGATACAGCTACTGTCGACGCAGTTTCTGTCGATATTATGGACAAGGACTCACACTCGCACGTCAAATAATCCAGTACATTGCATGGTTGCTCCCAGACTATCAACGTATCAGACGCGGAAATCAGCAACAGGAAGCTGGCGAAGATCAACGACGTGTGCGATTCCATCAAGCAGCAGCTACTGATCCTGGTCGAGTGGGCTAAATACATACCCGCCTTCACGGAACTACACCTGGACGATCAGGTATGTCTGTAGTTCTTTAGAATAAGTTATCCATGTATAACTTACATAACGATTTTGTAAATGTTGTTACATTATTCTTTTAATTTTATTAAACTTTTTTTCGTTCATTATTCTCCACAGCTAAAAAATATGCCCAATAACGAGGGGTAGGAAAAAATGGACGATTCAAAAGAGCTGTACTATAAATAAAGATGTTTTGACTTCGTAATAAAGATTTTATTAAGTATTTTATAGCATTAGGCCGTATACAGAAAGAAAGCCAAAAGCCCATCGGCGCCGATCAGCGCCGATCGGCGCTTATCGGCGCCTATTGGCGCTGATCCTTTTTCTATGGACCGGCGCCGATAAGCGCCGACACGCGCTGGTCCGAATAATAAATAATTTTTATTATTTTTAAAGCTTGTAACTGCTTGATGTTTAAATCTAAAGAAAATATAACTAGAAAAAATTCCACGCGGACCAGGCAGCAGACGGGACTCGAACCCGCACCCTTCGCAATCCGGGCGAATGCACTGACCAATTATGCTACCGCGGCCCTCACGGACCGCGTCGAAATTCTTTCTAGCTATTCTTAAGCTGCAAGGCAGCGCCATCTCTTCGCATTATAGGTAAACCAACCCAGGTCAGTGCATTCGCCCGGATTACGAAGGGTGCGGGTTCGAGTCCCGTCTGCTGCCTGGTCCGCGTGGAATTTTTTCTAGTTATATTTTCTTTAGATTTAAAAATAATTTGTATTTGAATTATTATCCTTAGATTAAATCAATCTAAGTTATAATCTTTTTATTAATCTAATAACTTTATCTTTTATTAACTAAGCGCTAAAATTATTTGTTTCGTACTTACCGAATGGTGACAACAAGTCTTTCTTTTGGAAGGATAGGTTGTTTATGCCAATTGCCCCAATTTTTCATCGAACGGTTTTTCACTAAATCCAAAATGTAATAAAATGTTTCTTGAATCATTCCTGTATATGTATAAAATCTTTGTTCATCAAATTTAATTTTTTTTACAAATAAATGATGGTATTCTCCGAAAGGTTTCCTTTCTCTATTTATAGGATGTATAGCTTTTTTTCGCATTTTTAAATACACATTTTCTAACAAAACCAAATCATCGTCCGATGAGTCCGACATTTTGCTTGATCTGCTTTAATCGGCTTCCTTTATGTAGGAAGGATCGGCGCCGATAAGCGCCGATCGGCTTTCGACTTTCTTTCTGTATACGGCCTTAGACACGTTACCTGCTTGTTTTCTTCTTATCATATTATCTTAATAATGATCCCCAAAATTATTGTTGTGTGAATCATTATCACAATCAACTAATTAATGTCCCCACTTGCTACCCTAGGGATGGACCGTAATAGTGCGAATTGGTCGGTGGTGACGACTGCAGATGCAGTGGGGGACTAAATTTTTGGTCACCCATCCTATATCCCGCCATTGTGAAAGTTGCTTAACTCCCACTATCGCAGACCGAACGCGCTAACCATTACAAATGCGCCATCGACCTTCCACCTCTCCACTTCCTGGACATCTGCTCTTTAACCACAAGAAGCTGTCATTATAGCTTTTTAATATAGTCATATTAACATCACACTTTTTTTACAAATAAATAATTGGTTGTCTGTGAAGACGGTTTACGGACGTTAATTTTACGTGATACCGTGTCCTTTGCTGTTTTCCTCGGAGCATTTTTGTTGTAGTTTTTGTTCTGTTTCGTTTGAGCCCAAGCACGCCTCTGTAGCTCTATAGGGGCCCGAGTTACACTCGGCGGAGGTGAGGAACTTTTCGGGGGGGGGGGGGTCGAAGGAACCCTCCGGCCTCACCTAACACACCGCCGGACACCACCACCGACTCCGGAACGTTGAACTAATGCGTGACTCGACAGGACCAGGGCCGTGTGCCGGTGGCCGGGCCTTTAACCTATTGGAGGCCCTGGGCATATTAGGATAATGGTACCCCTATGACTTTGATGTGGAGCGAGTCATACTGACGAGTGTACTACTGATGATTTTTCTATAAATGTGTATGTGCAAAGTATACCATTATATGTATATTTAAATTTATCTAAGCATGCTGCAGTCAGAAAGCCTAATTTTTTGGCTAGAGTAGAATAGCTTCGCACGAATAACGGGGCCCTGGGCACTTGCACAAAATGCCCATTGGTAAAGAGGGGTCTAGACAGGACGTCGCACTTTCGTCCGTGCGTGCAGCCGATGTTCATCGATTTATAAAGACGTTATCGCGTCACAAAAAAACAATATTTTATTTAAATTTAAAAACAATAAAGTATCACCCACGGGGACGAACCAATAGTTGTCTTTTATCTCCGCTAGGTGGCGTTGTTACGCGCTCACGCGGGCGAACATTTACTACTGGGCTGCGCTCGCCGCTCGCTGCATCTGAGAGACGTGCTGCTGCTCAGCAACAATTGCATCATCGCCAAACACAACATCGGTGAGTAGTTACATTTTTAAATTAGAAGAGGCCTAAATTTTCAAATCTTACTAAGACATTAACACATTTCAGTGTAATTGACAAGTTTTAGAAAACGATCTCACATTATTCACAAAGTATATTAACGTAGTCCATAAAAGTGGATATTCATCATTCTTTTGAGTATTTTAGTAAAAAGTAAATCAAAAAATCCATTTCAAGTTACCACCAAAACGTTTCTCTGGACATTAAAACGTAAAACAATACAATGTAATGTCACTTTGGCCGTAAGTGTCTAGTGTGTGACGTCATTTAAGTCTTCGCCAATCCCAGGCGTTTTCTGTCACGTGATCATAGAACAAAAATCTATTTCTAATTAATGTTTTTTTTTCGGTTATTAATTCTTTATTTCTTAGAATGGTAAAATCGCAGCTAATATTCATATTAAATACAACAACAATTGGTACTTAATTTTTTAATCTGTCAAATACCTTATATATTGAACAGATAACGCATTGCGGTATTTTTTATGATTAGAGAACATTGTCTGCGTAAGATTCCGACGGTTTTTGATTAAACCGGGAGCAACGGGTTAACGTTTACCGTAGCATAGAAAATCTCGAGATAGTAAATGAAACGGAATACGATAACCAATGCGCCATTCCGCTACGACTTTATGATATTCAAATATTTTCCATATCATATTACATATAAAATTGACAGTGACGACCTCCGTGTTCGAGTGGTTTGTATGCCGGGTTTCATGGTGTCGCCGACTCGAGAGATCCCGGGTTCTCAGTGGGGGCAGATGTTTGTGTGACGAATACGAGCATTTGTACTCCATTCATGGATGTTTCATATATATTTCTATATAAATATACTTATATATGTACTGTACATGTATTCTATCCGTTACCCTATCATCCCATAACTCAAGCCTTACAGTGCTTACTTTGGGGCTAGGCTAATTGGTGTGAGTGTTGGAAATATTTATTATTTATTTATTAAACTCAAATGTTTATTATATTTACCAGAAAAAAGTCCGCTCAGTTGAAAATCCGTTGTCCGGGCGGATGCACTAACCGCTATGTTACCTGTCAACTTGTAAAAATATAGTAGAACATTTATATCTATTTAATTTTGTTTGGACATATTAAGAAAAAAAAAAAGATCATTACATAAAGTTTGATGAACAAATTTGCTGAACCACGAGTTAGACATATAATTCGTTCCTGTATATTCGCTACGCTTCATTGTGTTATGTTTCGTTCCAGACGGGCGCATGGACATAGACATCAGCATGATCGGCATGCGGGTCATGGACGAGATAGTGAAGCCTCTAAGAGAGATCGATATTGACGACACAGAGTTCGCCTGCCTCAAGGCCATCATATTCTTCGACCCCAGTCAGTATTGCACTTTATACCAATGTATTAGTATTCAAATTCGTTTATAAATTAAAGGCATAAAAACCCAATAAAAGGTCATATTCAAATTACAATAAAAAAAAATATAAAGTGTGAACAGTGTAAAAATAAATAAAAACATTAAAGAAAAATAAAACAATTTAAATAGGTAGTTAAAAGATTACCTACGTCATTTACGGTTTTCGCTCTGGTGTTTAATTTGACCTTTTGCAAGCACCTAAGAAAGTAAAAATAGATAATATGTACTCGGATTACTTACTTAAACTTTATTGCCATACATATGCAGACGGCGGACTTAATGCCATAGGCATTCTCTAGCTGTCAACTTGAACGAGTGTTAAAGACAAATGGTATGGCGACAGGGCAAAATACTTTATAATAAAACATTTAGAAAATAAGGACGATTAAAATATATTAATACTTTTATAGTAAATTTGATAAACCTACATAAACTACTCAAATAAAATACATAAATAAATATAATATAAATAGATGCAAATAATAACAAAAAAAGAGATTACGTATTAGAGATAATATGTATTTCATACCGTGTCGTCAGTTGGAAGATTTCTTTTTATTCTAGTAATATTTTATTTCATACAGTGTCGTTAATTGAAATATATAAATATCGATATGGCATCTAAACTTGAAAACATATATTGAGCCCACCTTCACTGCTACCGTACATTATAAATAAATGAGGATCTTCCCTTGCTTGATGACAGCGTAAATTAAATGATACACAATTGCTAAAATTACACACCCATTTTTAGCCATTACGAAAGTTGTTTAACTGACGCGTCATACAAACCTGCTATCTCATAGGAAGTACCAACTCGAAAAACTGTCGCTCCTTAATGCCGGCACTTCGCTATTCGTGTTTGCTATTTGTTAACTTGACATTACTCTTTTTTTTTCGTTCCTCATAGACCATGATAAAGACTGACTATTGTCAAGTTTCGCTTTCGCTTTCCATCAGGCGAGATTGTGGTCAAACCATAGAGGTATAAGAATAGAGTAGGGGAGATATAGACTCTACTACAAGTGGAAGTGTCCCTCTAATAGAAAGAAGATGAGAAACCTCTAGCTTACTCTCTCTAATCGCGCATGCGCATTGGCAACCGTAAGCATCTTTGCTTTCGATGTGATGCTTGGACCAACTATTGGACAGACGACTGCGCATGCGTCGCAAGAGAGAGATAGCTAGCGGTCTCTCATCTTCTTTCTCTTTCTACTAGATGGACACTTTTAGAGCCGCCTTCCGCACTCTATTGTTATACCTCTATGGGTCAAACAATTGCCTGTTAAGCATTAAAAAAAGTTGAAAAATAGCAAATACGAATAATCTATTCAAGTACAGGCATAAGTATTGCTGTAGGTAAAGCATGTTTTATAATCACAAATTTCTTTTTCCCTCCCCCCAGATGCCAAAGGCCTCTCCCAGCCACAGAAGATAAAGCAACTACGCTACCAGGTCCAGATTAATTTAGAAGATTACATCAGCGATCGTCAGTACGACGGTCGCGGCAGATTCGGAGAATTATTACTCTGTCTGCCGCCGCTTCAAAGTATCACGTGGCAAATGATTGAGCAAATACAGTTTGCCAAACTGTTTGGGGTCGCGCACGTCGATAGTTTACTGCAGGAGATGTTGTTAGGAGGTCAGTATAGATTTATTTTGTGATTATAATAGCGAAGGCAAAAGATTCCCGATTCCACTGAGAAATTTAGGACAGTCGCAGCAGATTTGGAGAACCAAACTGTTTGGGGTCGCGCACGTCGATAGTTTACTGCAGGAAATGTTGCTTGGAGGTAGGGTTACTATTTAAATATTTGAAAAGTCCTGACAAAAAGCCGGATATTTAGATGAAAGTCTGGACATTTTACTCACAAAAAGCTAACATCACCCAGTTAGTTACAGTGATATTATACGCGTGGTAGCAGACGCTCGCATCGCGAGGGGGGTCTCACTGTAGGTTTTTAAAGATGATTTATATTTTGTTTTAAATTAATGCGAACTTAAAAAAGATTATTTGATATAACTTAATAAGTAGTTTAACTTATATTCCATCTAATTAAAAAAATCCTGACAAATTAAAAAGCCGGACAAAGTCCGGACAAAAGGTAAAAGTCCAGATAACTCCGGACGGATGGTAACCCTACTTGGGACCCTACCTACGAGGGACCAATAAAGGCTACTGATTCGAGAAACAGGAATTTAGAGGACTACATCAGAGAACTATTGCTCTGTCTGCCGCCGCATCGTACAAATACAGTTCGCCAAACTGTTTGGGGTCGCTCACGTCGATGGTTTACTGTAGGAGATGTCGTTAGGAGTTCAGTATAGTTTGTATCATATCAGCTAAGATTATGATATTAATAGTAAAGGCAAAGGATTCCTGATTACATTGAGAAATTTTAAATCTACTCGAGAGGTCCTGGTTTCGAATCCCGGTGGGGGCAGATATTTGTGTAATGAATACGGGCATTTGTACTTCAGTAATGGATGTTAACTATGTATTTCTATAAAAATATACATATATAAATGTATTCTATTCGTTAGCCCTAGTAGCCCATCACAAGCCTACAGTGCTTACTTTCTGGCTAGGCTTTGGTGTAATATGTATGGTTAGTTTGGTGTGAGTGTTGAAAATATTAATTTATAATAATAATAAAAACATGGTTCCAAACTCGGATAACTATACTTCAATACTAACGCGACGCGTATACGGACAAAACAAATCATTTTGACTTACCAAATGTCTGCAATTGAATTCGGCTACCTATTCATTGTGTAAGATAATATTAAACGAAAGTAATCCCATGATCGGCGTGTTGATCGCAGTTTTTTCGCCCCGCCCACTCTATCGCATTTTGCGTGGAACCACTTTTTAGCGCAGTTCGTATTCCATATTATTTCTAATTCGTTAAATTTAATAATTAAATGATAACGTATGCTTATTATTCATTTGACGACATCCGTGGCCGAGTGGTTTGTACGCCGGGTTTCATGGTGTCGCCTACACAAGAGGTCCCGGTTCAAATCCCGGTGGGGGCAGATGTTTGTGTGATGAATACGAGCATTTGTACTCCAGTCAGGTATTCTATCCGTTGCCCTAGTATCCTATAACACAAGCCTTACAGTGCTTACTTTGGGGCTAGGCTAATTGGTGTGTATTGGAAATATTTATTTATTATTCATTTGTCGTAGGTGCGACTACAGATATCCTAGAAGGCGGCACAGGGGCGGGTACCGAAGGGGGGGCGGGCTCAGGGTCAGGGGCGGCAGAATCTGGAGCTTCATCACCTCCCCTCGTTCCCGTAGTGCCGTTACCCGAAGCCAACTATATGGATTCCACGCCCTTCAAGCAGGAACCTAACATGTGAGACACACTATCCACCGTACACAACAGCCATAGACTGACGAACGTACTCAGACCATAGAGGTATAAGAATAGAGTAGGGGAGATATAGACTCTACTACAAGTAGAAGAGTCCCTCTAATAGAAAGAAGATGAGAGACCGCTAGCTTGCGCATAAGTCACAAGAGAGATAGCTAGCGGTCTCTCATCTTCTTTCTCTTTCTACTAGACAGACACTTTTAGAGCCGCCTTCCCCACTCTATTCTTATATCTCTATGACTCAGACATAACCATATAATCCTGCCGGAAACCTTGACAGACTTGAATTTTTTGTAGTAAAAATTGTCTTTAGATTTATTTATCGAGCACATTTATGCTTAAAATTAAAAGTATCACAAACGTTAATTAATTTTTAAGTTTGATTCACAGCCCTATCCCATACTACCTGGTTTTTCATTCTGTAATGTCCAATGCAATTTTGGTTCCGTTTATCATTTAGAAAGGGATATAAGCTTGCAAAGTGGCTACTTATTTTATGTACTTCATGGAACTGTTATCTATTGCTGTCACTTTCCTTACTATTTTAAAACAATAAAGTAAGGCAACATGCGACTTTTAAATAAATTTGGCTGCTCGATTGCTTTCTCTCTTTCGAGATTGTGGTCAATTTCCTGTAGGTATTGTTCGGTCCATGTCTTTGATTTTAGTAACTAACTTTAAGAACTTCGTGGGAGGATAGCGTGGGTGGAGTATATGTTTTCATGAAATATTTATTTTGATGGATTTGTATCTTAATATTGACTCGCAAAAATATAATAAGCATTTTAAGGAAAATCACACATGCTCAGTCTAAGCACAAGAAGTTATGCCCAATTGTTTTTTTTTTTTGATAAAAAATAAGATAGCTATAATACTTTATTTATTATACACTTCACCCATCCCACGCAATCCCGTCAAAAATTTATTGTTATTCTTATTCATCTATAAGCCTGCGTTGCCTGACCATAATAAACAAAAAGTGGCGGTCACACAAAACTACTACTAGGTTCATTGCTTATAAAAATTACATTCTACTCTCTTTGAGCCTAAAGCGCAGACTACATTGTTAGCCAAGCTAAAGATTACGCCATAAACTACAGTATAAAATGATACTTAACTCTTAATTTAGTCTGCATGTTATAGTGTTTCTACATTATATATTACATATATAACATTTTGTTAATAGCGTGTCCATCATACTTTATAGGAATGTTTAAAAAATATTATATAACATCAAAATGAATATGATAGACTAAATAAAATATTTGTTGAAATAAATAGGAAATTGTAAACAAACTATAATGTTGTGCCTTATGCCTTGCATATAGTATATATTTTGTTTTATATTTAAACATTTTAAGATATCGACTGGTTTTAAGATGATATATTTAACAAGTTTTAAAAATAAAAGTTTATATTATATTAACTTTAGATAAAGGTAACATTTGCATGTCTAATTAACCTTTTAGCCTTTTTTGAGATTCATAAGTCATGGCTAGAGAGCTTTTTTATTAAACACAAAGATAAGAAATCTTATTAACACGCGAGTCTTCAAAATTGACTCGAGCTTTTAAAAAATCGTAGATAACAGGAATCGAGGTAAAAATATTAATCGAATTAATATTTGATCTAGTTGTGAGCCCTTTTTGGTGAGCATCCATTTCTATTTCTTAAGTCCGTGTATAAAAAAGACTAATATCTTCATTTGGTACTCAGATGATAGTCTTTGTCTGTTGTAATACATGATTATACAAGCCATGAAAGTATATTTACATACACTTATCGATAATAGTACTTATCGAATTACAACCAACGAAAAGTTCTTCAATCGTATGAAAAACTATGTGTCATAAAACCCAACCCAAGTATCGTACATGTTTAGCTCGGTTTCACTTTTTCATTACAATAATTGGTGGTGGAGCTTTCTACATAAGTGCAGATTTAAAATACATAATACTATAATACATTTTTTTGTTTGTAACCAGGAGTCCAGAACAATCTTCGCCAATGGCTACTGGAGACATTATGTTATTGTAGTATGATGGACAGATGACAGATAATGTAGATTACATCAGAACACATCAAACTTTATGCACAAGTTAGTAGGAGTCCTATGTCAATAAGATGTTATTTCGAGTCATTAAATTCTAAAAATGTTTTACACTGATAATATTGCATGTGATTATCTAAGGTCGCATTAATTTGGTGTCTGATTTTTTTATTAAATAATATTGTTATACATACATGTAGGTGTAGGTATCATTTTGCCAATTTTTCTATTAACATTAAAATTTATAATTATACTGTAACATAAATGAGCTGTTTAAATGAAATTGATTAATTAGGCTGTGTAACATAAAAATGATTTTGGAGAAATGTACTACTCGTTAAGTCGTCCAAATGTTTAAAATCTTTATATTTATAAAAGAAAAATTAATTATTGTGGCCAGTCTTAAACTAATTACCTACTATTTTAAAGACTCCGATTATATATAGGTTTCTTTGTGTTACCAAGCAAAAGTAGGGGATGGATTTGATACGTTATAAATTTACTTAAGGCATTTTTAGGATGGATTTTGTATTGTTACCTACTAGTGAAACTGTTATATATACGAATAGTAGACTGTATCTACATATTGTAGAATTATTGTTTTAAGTAGATTATATTATTGTACTATGAATGTTAGAAGCCATGTTATGAACATAAGGAAATGCTCAATGCCCTTGCCAAATGTTTGGTATTGTTATAAATGTAATACATAATCAGGTGAAAGTTTTTTACCATATTGGGAAAAGTGTGTTTAATATTGGTTATGAGATGTATGTTTCAAGTTAAATATTTAATGAAATTTAATATTAAGTGCCTTATACCCTACACGCAGTAGGTTGGTGTATTGTTGTTGAATGTACATAGTATGTTGCGATTTGTAGAAAATATATATTTTAATAAATAATCTGTTACCAGATGAAGTTTTTTATTTATTAATTGCAAGACTGTGAACATGTTTTACAGTTTCCAGAAAGGCAGGCGATCTTTCCCAAAATAATTAAAAAGTGGAAAGTCTTTATATCCCTGTAAATACATTATAAAAGTAAAAGTATGCCTTTAAATTTCTCTATATAAAATTAGATTTTACTTTTGGAAACTAACGAATAGAGATGAAAACAATGAAGTGTTAAAAGAATTGGTACCTATGTAAACTTTATATTCTAGATGCATAAGTTTCTTATTCGATTGTAGACGGTTTTTCCGTGACGTCCATGTAGCCTTTTCGCCTTTCCACCCTGTTCTTGCAGTAAAGGTACAACACTGAGACAGCGGACACAACGGACATTATTATCAACGGTACGTACACAGTCAACATCAATTTATCAGCGTACAAATCAGGCATGGATTTTGACACTTCACTATTATTAAAACACTACACGATCTTCTAAATCAAAAGCTATAAAATCCTTTTTTCTTCTTTAGCAAATTCTTTAAAATCCTCGAAAATGTGATAAAATTTCTGTTATTACAGTTGACATGACAGAAGTTTGACTTTGTAATCTTCGTTTCAGCTTGAGCTTATTCTTTTTTTTCTATGTTATAGAATAATTTCTGTTAGACATGGGCGTTTTTGGTTTTGCACGCAAACGGATATTTATCGGATTTCAGATTTCAAAATCGATTTTAAAATCCGTTTTTAGATATCCGATTTCAGATGTGCCGAACTTAGCCAATTCACTAGTTTGTGTTATGATTTGGTTTTATTGGCTAACGACAATCACAAACAATTAATTGTAGGAAACAAGGATACTCGTAGATTTGCGCGATTTTCCTTCATGCTTTAAATCTAGGCTTAGGAGTAGCAGAAAAGTTATGTTTACGGTTAAAAATCGGCTTATATACAACGATTTCTTTTTACATATTTTTTTAGTATTTTTCTGTTTGTTTTATTATTTTTCAAACCATTTACAAAATCAAACCTAATTACTTCAGGTTAGCGTTAAAAAATGTAAGTTAATCGACTTTTGATGTTTTTAGACGACATCTCTTTTCAGTGATAAATAATCCCGCCTTAGAGAGAGCAATAGATTTCCGTAAACAGCAAACCGAAATCGGACTTCCGAAAACGAAAGCACGAATTTCGAATCCGATTTACATATGGATACTTTTGGTGGTATTAGATCGCTAGCGTTTTGGTTCGGTTAGATTTCTGAAATCGGATTTTCTTGTTGAGGAATCGTTCGGTATCGATTTGAGTTTGAAATCGGATTTTGGATTCGTTTTGATATATCAGACGCATGCCTAATTTCTGTTTGTCAGGTCTGCGAGTGCCGCAAACACCCGCGCGCTCTGCGGTCGCAAATTGCACCGTGAGTTTTGATTTTGTATTTTCCCTACAATTTGATATTCTACGAGAGTTCTCTCGCGACGAGAACGGGAGAAAATCGCGCCGTGACTTCTTAGCCTTTGGGTTTCTATATAGGTAATAACATTTAAATTTTATAAATACTTAATTAGGAACCAAATAATAACAAATGGAACTAATAATAAAAAAATATTTATTTATATAGCACCAGAATAAAGTAATAAAATACGCAGAATCTTATTCCGACAGTAAGATTTCTTCTAAACATACTTGCTTACACTAAAATTCTCAGTGATTGAGTGAGATGCATTCAAATTTTATAGACGCTATTACAATGGCAATGTAAACAGATATATATAAATCATATTTCAATTTCTGCCTCAATACAGTCTTATGTCTATATAAAATAATTTACAATATTTTACTTGAAACTAAAACTATTGAACGCAACATCGCCCGCCCATGACATTACACTACATTTATATATATATATATATATATATAAATATATAATTTAATTGAATGTTTAAACTCTTTGTTTGATATTCAGATATTATACACAACTAGCTGACCCAGCGAACTTCATACCGCCCTAAAAAAATAGGGGTTGTCCAGCGGACAAAATTGTGAATCTAAACCATTCTCAGATCCCCTTGAACACACACAAAAAAATTCATCAAAATCGGTCCAGTCGTTTAAGAGAAGTTCAGTGACATACACACTCACAGAAGAATTATATATATAAAGATATGAAATTTTACTGTTTTCCCTTAATTTTTTCAAGATTTTTTGGTCCCGCTTTCAAAATTTAAAGTTATAGTGATTATACACAAAACAATTCGTCTTTTGAGGGCTGCACAAAAACAAATAACATCTAACCCAACTAGCCAGAGGCGCGCGTACGTACTTTATTATCTTTATTGGCCTTTGAGCATTTTTGAGATCAAATGTTGCGTCGCTTTCCATGTCTGAAACTTTGAAGCGCTCTTCCAATTTGGAACACAGGTTAATTCAAAAATATTTGGTTTAATTCCAGCCCAACCTTCGCTTTCCGAAACTTTGGGGCACTCCATAATTCTAATTTGGCACACGAATCAATTTAAAAATACATAATTTGGTTTAGTTTCAGTGTGAGAACTTCACACAAGCATTTTTTTTAAAAGTTTTATTTCTCTAATGCTTCGTAAAACTACGACTAAGTATTATGAATGTGCTTTTATATAAGGCGAGTAGATAAAACGCTCGTGCGAACAATCCCCAATTGTCAATTCATACTAGGGCAGAGTCGAAGCGCATTGAAGATAATTTCAGAAACAGTAACATAGCAGACCTTTATCTCCGCAACGTAAAACACATATTGGGGAAACAACCCAATCACAGGCACTCTTCCAATTATTGGTTTTACTGTTTGTTTTACACTTTTGAGTTTAGTTCGAAAAAACAAGGAAACAATAGATTATGCTAGCTCGATACATATTAAAAAGCAAAACTTATATGTAAACCGCTTAACTGAGTCATCGCCTACGGGGTACAGGGTGTAGGGGAGGACGAGACTGGGGACTGTGAGATGTGCGGGCGGCAGGCACGTTCTTGTCAAATTGTTTCTTTGTTTTTTTTCGAACTGAACTCAAAAGTGCCAATAATTAGAAGTGTGCCAATGATTGCGTGGTTTCCTGTTCCTTCTGAGCCAATAAACAGCGCGCGATTCGTGTGTCTTCTCTCTATCTCAGAAGGAATATGGACGTTACATTGCGGAGATAGTGGTGAATTTGCTTTGTTACGTTTATGAACGCTTTCCACTCTGCGCTAGCATGAATTGACCATAAGCCGCCAATGTGGCAAAGGTGGAAGCAAATTGTTATTATTTATGAAGCCCTGGCTTTGCTCCTCTTAGTGTTACCGCCAACATAACAAAATTCCGTATCAATATCATTCTGCTGCAAGTAGTGCATCCATTGCAACTGCTTCAAAGACGGCTTGTCTGTGTCGCTTTTCACTTCCACAAACCTTAACTGAAATTAAACAAAAAACACAAAATAAAAGTCTTTGAAATAGCTTGATGTGAATGATCGCCATCAGACTTAGAGCCTGCGCCGCGATAAGCGGGAGCACGGAGCGCATCCACTCCGCGTGCAGTTTTTATGCCATTTCATAGATATAGCTTTGCAAATATTATGAATCAAGCACGCTGAGCGGACGCCCGCCCCGTGTTCCCGCTTAACGCAGTGCAAGCTCTTTATGTCCCCACCGTAGTATAGAAAAAGCTCGTAACTAACCCACCAACCGGACCCAATGCGGATGGTAACGACTGCAGATACAGCTGAGACCATCGACTTAACATGCCTTTCCAAATTTACTTAACTTGTATTCTCGCAGACGGAATATGTCATCGAGCCATACAATCCTAAATATCCTCTATTATAAATGTTGTTAATAGTATAAAACGCCCCATATAGGCACGACACAAAAAAGTCTCTTGCCTTCGAGTTGTATATGGCGCGAACAGCTTCCTTTTGCAGTATTAAAAATGCTATGATATTAGCAGCTGAGCCGCACAACAAAAGACTACAGATCATAACGCTATAAAAATTACCAAAGTAAACCAATCTTGCCGTTTCCACATCAGTTGCCTTTTTTTTTAAACAGTGAAATCCGCGGAACTCTGTCTGCTTGATAAGGAATCAATATGAGGATCCCATTGCAAATGCGAGTCAAAAGTAATATCCAGAAACTTTGTAGAATCCACTAACTCTACGGGCTGGTTGTTTATTTTTATACTAGTATTAACCTTCAAATTATTTACCGTAAACCAATGTAAAACTTCAGAGAGAATACAATTTACTTCGTCATAACAATCATTTCCTTTTCTAGCTTTAAACACTAAAGAGGTGTCATCAGCAAATAGTACTGTCTGACACAAATCTCTGGTAAAGTGAGAAAGATCATTGATATAAATAAGGAAAAGCAATGGTCCTAATATTGAACCCTGGAACACGCTTATAGAAATGGTTGATCCTGAAGACTCAGCTTCATTTATAACGACTTTCTGAATCCTAGCAGAAATATAAGACTTGGTGAAGTATTTGATACACCACAAAGGCTTATATTATTTAACAATGTTTCATGGCTAACGCAGTCAAACGCCTTTGATAAGAAAAAAAGCCATATATCAAAAACGTGTTTGAGAAGTGCAATTGCAGCATCAGTAGTACTTTTGCCTCTAGTTTAACCAAGCTGTTTTAAATAAAATTGAAGATTTCGTTACGTTAGCGTAGCAGAATCGACACCCAAAAAGGATATCGTGGCGATCGATCGATGAAAGTTGTGATTAATTATAAATAAAATAATAAATATCGATTGGGTGTTTCTTGCGATCTCCGATGTAGTTTTCACAACAGATTTTTTGTTTCAATTGGTCTAAAACTTCGGTCTGTACGGTATATGGGGCTCTCTAAAGGTCTTCGCCCAACCATGGCATTGTTAATGTAAGTTTTATGTCGTGTTACTATTTTTTTTTTAATTTAAGTCGAAAGTATCCGACGCGTCGTTGTTATGTGTGTTGTCGTGTTGCCGACGTGTTACCGACGAGTCGGACACGAGTTGACAACGTGCTTACGGATAGCAAATTTTCATGTACACTTTTCATAAAATTCCGTGACGGAATGAAGGAAGGAGTAGAGAATTGCGCAGACGGATAAGCTGACAACGCCTTGCCCTCTAGTCATAAATATATTTTCGACTTTTGTAGAACAACGCACGCATTTTGTCGTCAAAAAATCATTATTTAGAAAGAAAATTTTCTGAACAAGTTCACATGCTCTAGGTAAAATTCATATAAATTACGACTAACAGATTTGGTAGTCGAGGCCGAGCTAGTTGACAACGCGTATCCTACTCGTTGAGGGCGCGTTGTTCGCCTAGTCGACGACTCGTTGATACTGAATCGATGGTTCGACTAGGAAGGCCATTGGATTGTGGTCAATTCAATAGTGCAAAGACCTATGTTTTGAGGGTTGAAGACCTTTGGATGTCTATAATGTTTGCTACTCACCTGTCCGGTGCACTGTTCCACACCGTAAGGTCCGGGAAACCGGCGGAGTAGTATAAGTCACGGCACGAAACTAGCGCTGACCGTTATTACGCAGAAATAAAAAATTAAGATTTCTTGGGGGGAACGGCGTGCGCGGTTGAGCGTGTGTTGCGCCGATTAGCGTAAGTTCCGGGAAGCCGGCGGAGTAGTACGAGTAGTTTGACTGACGCGAGCCGTCGACAGAGGGGTACTAAATATATGTATGTATATGCAAAGACCTCAAGATGACTATAATGTTTTCCACTCACCTGTCCGGTGCGTTCGTTCCACAGCGTAAGGTCCGGAAATCCAGCGGAGTAGTACGAGTAGTTTAACCTGAGCCGTCGACAGAGGGCTACTAAATATATGTATGTATATGCAAAGACCTCAAGATGGCTTTAATGTTTTCCACTCACCTGTCCGGTGCGTTCGTTCCACAGCGTAAGGTCCGGAAATCCGGCGGAGTAGTACGAGTCGTTTAACCCGAGCCGTCGACAGAGGGCTACTAAATATATGTATGTATATACAAAGACCTCAAGATGGCTATAATGTTTTCCACTCACCTGTCCGGTGCGTTCGTTCCACAGCGTAAGGTCCGGAAATCCGGCGGAGTAGTACGAGTAATTTGACGCGAGCCGTCGACAGAGGGCCGCTAGTTTATGTCCGCCCGCACACTTCACTACCCCCGCCACCTCCTCCCACTGTATACCCTCTCGCTCGCGACATAGCCCCGACAGCTCGCCTGTAGACAAACACCGTATTATGAAGTGTTATCGCAATTCAAGTTCATCAGGGAGTCTACAAAGAACATATTGTAGTACGAATGTACACCCTCTGAATGTATTTCATTTCCCAAAGGAGATTGGTCAAATTGGCCTAAATGCAAATAAAATATTGACATATACAGTAATTCTTGGCGTAATTTATACTTTATTTTACAGTCATTAGATTTTAACGGCCACCTTTAAATAATATATTAATTTTAAAAAAGGACTTCTATTTTTACCGGTTTGGAAAACATACGAATCATTTTTATTGGCTATGGGTTATTCACAAAGACTGATCGAGGTTGTTTATATAACATCAAAACAAATCTATTTTGTAAAGATTGATAAAATATATTTTTTTTTATTACACGGGTGGTATTAATATCCACAACTTTATTATCATTTTTACTACATGCAAATGTGCTAAGACAATTAATATAGATGGTAGGCGACATCATAAAGTCTATTGCCGTACATTTTTTGCCAAACACCTAAATAAACACATTATAAGGTGTGATACACTAAAAATCTAAAATATGGTTATAATAAAAACATAACAAAAATAATGAAGCTGCTGAAGATATGGCTGTATAACGTACAGCTCTTAGCTTTCTTTGATTAACTAGAGTTTAAAAATTCTCTCTAATATGTGGCTCATTCACAATCATCACACAGTTTCTGTTCGTGTTTTTAAAAACATGCACATATCTGTTATTTTACATGCTCTATATACCTGAATCTAATACATAATATCGGTACTTGGCTTGATTGCCCTATTTTCCTATATAAGTTATTTGGTTTTTATTATTCTAATACCTATGTGCCTATTTGCAAACATAACCTCAAAATCATTCAGTGTATATGGTTTATAGAAGTTCTCAGGAGTGGCCGTCGATAATATTCGTTTCTACGGTAATTTATATATAATTTCGAATGTAGGAAACAATTTTTCATGGTTATTGGTTTTTAGGCCAAACATGTATGGAAGCTGAGCAATCTCCTTTAATTGAGTGAAAAAATCCAGAATGAGATTTCAACTATGCACAACGGAGAGATAACCTGTCTCAACAGCTTGTTTTACCATACAAACAATCAAAATTATAAGAAAACAATGCAGCAATAACAAAATTAAAAACTAACTCACCTTCAGGCCGTGTTACCCAAATATTACTCATCATGTTCAATAACTTTTGAACTTGCTCAGACTGTATCATCTTCAGTCTATTATCAATTTGTTGTCTTCTGTTTTCATAGAAACTTGCACAGAGCATGTCTAACGGGTATCTTTGGAAACGCGTCAGGAATATTCCCGGACAGTTAGGTGGCTTAGTAGAATATACTATATCCCAGAATAGTAGGAAAAATATCGTGTTCACTATTTTGCCTTCCCAGTGCTTTCCTGAAAGAGTAAAAATACGTATACAAGTAGAGTATTTAACAAGTTATAGAACTATTAAAATCTCACGTTATTTACTAATGTTTACTCATACTCATTCTGTTGTGTATTTCAGTCAAAAAAAAAACTAAATAAAAATTCCGTTTTTAAATCATTATAGCGTGACACTGGTGTGTGGACTATCATTAAAACGTCAAAAGATACAATGTAATGTCAGTTTGACGGGAAGTTTACTAGCTTGTGACGTCATTTGTCTTCGCTAATCCCAGGCGTTTTCGATCGCGTGGCCATATTAAAAAAATCTAGTTAATGATTTTTTACAAAAGTTATATATTGGTGTCGATTCTGGCATGATTCTCTAAATTAAAAACTAAATTTAACATCAGTCTCTCCCTTTCATTATGTATAGAGAATGACAAAAATACATTGTTGTCAAATTTAAGTTTAGATTTAGAGAATCATGTCAGAATCGACACCATATATTATCTCAGAATAGTAAAATCGTAGCTAGTATCTTACTCAAATTGTTGCCATCTGTATTATAATATGAGCATATTAAAAAAACAGACAGCAACAATTGTACATTTTTTTTTAATATTGTCAAATAACCTATTGCTGAAGCCTCATGAATATTATTATTTAGTTCCAAACTATGCAAAGCTTGTTTTCTACCTACAAAAGAAAACACAAAAAAAGTGTAAGTACATAGATATTTGTTTATGCACACCAATCACTTAGTAAAAATACTTTTTTAATGGCTGTAGAGCATGTAAGATTAAAATATTTAATGACGGTGCTTCACATGGCCATTCGTTATTTTAATAGCAGGTTATCGTCATCATATATATAGGGAGTGAAAACGAGACTGTTATCAAGTTTACAATAGCCATACCAAGTGAAGTGTCGGTATATGATATGCTCCGAGTGCAACTTTTAACCATGCACTTTAAATTTTGACATAAAATGTATGAAACTTATGTCGATATTGATATTTGTTGCACCCGAAGCGTAGGTTTGGAACGCAGATCACGTCTTAGGCACCTCACGCACTAGACGGCCACGGCCGGATCGATGCGGCCCAACGACCAGATTAACTAAAGTTAGTAATAAGAAATGTTTGGCTAATCTTTCGTTGCATTGTCGTTGCTTCTAGTGGGCGAGGTGACTTAAGCCGAACAAACAAACAAAGCTCAAGAAAGTATTGAAGATTCAAACTAAAGACCTTTGAAGCAGAAGGCGAGAGCACTTGCTGACTTACCGTTAGTAAATTCTCCCGATTCTAGATAGTGCTGTACGGTGAATTCTTCAACATCTTGAATAATTCTTCCTTCAGAAGTTCGAGTTTCATATTTGAGTTTCCCTCTTGTATCAGTTCGGCTACAATAATAAATTTATTTTAAAGCAAATTGTCGCAATTTTACCCGAATAATGTGTAAAATGTTGATTTAAACGTACTTTGAGTACAAGGTAGTGTCGCAATTGCCCAGTTTACATATAATTAAATATTAATAAAACAACAGCGGTTTCGATACCGGCACGATTCTCTAAACTCAAAACTAAATTTTACATCAGTCTCTCCTTTTCATTCGGTATAGAGAATGACAGGGATACACTGTTGTCAAATTGAAGTTTAGGTGAAGAGAATCATGTCAGAATCGTTACCATTGTCATGTTCCATTCTCTAATAACAAATAACTTACTCCATAGGTTTCTTGAGAACATGAACTCCTCGTATGTTTTTCTCTAAAGTTCTCTCTTTGTCAGCATATTTCCACAACTCAGTCTGTAAATTCTCTTCTGTATATTTCGCTGTGATCGCGACTCGGTTAAGCAAAATTTCTGTCGCGTCTTCTGCTAGATTACATTTGAGGCCCTCTAATAAAACGCTAGCTGCCTTAAAATATTACAATAGCGTTTAAACAATTTCAAGAACGGAAAATAACTGCTACACTATAAATCCAAAAATAATAAAGGCTATATGATAATTATTTGAAAACGCCATTTATTAGTGTAAAGTGACTTTATAAAAAGTGGATATTTATAATTCTGTTGCGTACATCAATAAAAAAGCGAAAATAAAAATTATGTTTTCAAATGTGTCGCCGAAACGTTTCTCTAGCAAATATGGCGTCTTAGAGGCAGGTGACGTAACACAACTCTCATTAAAACGTCAAACAGTACAAAGTAATGTCACTTCGTTTGCATGTTTTAAAGGCGAGGGTTATTATTTTAGTCTGCGCCATTTCTAGGCGTTTAAATTTTTTTTAAAAGTTTTCTATAAGTTAAATCGCTCGCAATGTTCATGTTAAATACACATGCCAATAATATGTACTTTTATTTCATACTGTCAAATAGCATATAGTCTTAAGTCTATCAACTCACTTCATTATATTGGCCAATCTTGTGCAGTATTAACGACTTCTCATTATACCATTCTGCTCTTTTGTGCTGTCTAAATAAGTCCTGTGACAGGAGAGTACTGAGTACATTCAGTGCCAACTCGTAATTGTTGCTTTTCTTCAAGTCTTGTATTCCAGCATTCATGATTTTGACATAAAAGTCTAAAGGTGTAAAACGAAGAAGCCAAATCGGAAGTGACTTGTACCTGTTAAATATTTTAAATGTTTAAATTCCCGTGCTGGGCTGACAGTGATATAAAAATTATAATGTGTTTGATGCTTTGGGCTGGGCATACAGTGATCGCGGTATTAATCACATTCATACCTAATTAAAGCCTAGGGCTTTCAAATATTGAATATTCATCATGAACCGTAATAGAAAGTTGTGTTTTGAGAACTTTTAGTTGTATTATCGCTGCTAAAATATGAAATAATAAAAATATAATACAGTTAGGTCTCCATACATAAAACATTAAGGTTTTCGGCATCTTAACAAACCGGTCAAACAAAGTGGCTGTTTATTAATCTTGTACATTAGTAGAAAAATAAAAATATATTTACTTTAACATGTCATCATCAGTATAGTTTTTAAAAGTTTCATATATAAATTTGACTATACAACATCTTTTATTGACAGCAGTTTCTTGTAAATAATTTTCATACACATCAAGTGCTTTGAAATATCTGAAAACAAAACTTTGAGTTAATTTGTTAATAAGACTTAATATAGGTAATGACGAAATTGCAAAAACTTATAACTATAATAACAAAAAAATATCCATGCATAAAAAAATTATCTGTTTACCGAAAAATAATTTATTGTATAGAAATAATTATTTAATGTATTATAGGAGATGGTTCAAAAGTGGTAGTCGGTTTCCGACAGCGACGAAACATATATTAGTTGAAAGCTTGTAATATAAAATTATAACATGAACGATTTTTGTTTATCCCCGATTATTTTAAATTTTGTTTCAAAATTTATCAATTCTGTAAGGATGCTGGCCACCTTGTCTTGAGTAATGTCATATTTTTAATGTGTGGCACTTAAGAGAGGAGAATGATCGCTGTAGAAGATATTGCCAGAAATTATGATTTATCAATAAATAAATTATAAATTGTTTTTTATAATGTTGTACATTATTCAACTAACTTCATCTACTTGTATCCATAAACAGCTACCTTCACTCAAACGATTTACCGACGGAAGCGCGGCTGGTGGCTGAAAAATGAACTATAAATTCTACAAATTTTTAGGGACAGGTGGGTTAATGCTTTAGCACGTAGCGATCGTTCTCCTTCTCTCTAATCTCCATGATCACCATGGCAAATAAAATGAAATTACTTTACTTTATTCAAATTGACTTATTGAAATCTATTTTGAATCGTCCAATATTTTTTCCTATTACCCATTCAGCACATCTTTTAGCTGATGAGATGAATGGGTGCAAGAAACTAATCAGCATTTAACAGAAGTAGCAACATTTACAAAAATAACATGCCGCTACCAATACAATGTCCACTCAAGGGCGGATCCAGGGGATCGACATATACTGAGCAGTGGCCTGTTTGGTACACAGTCATCTTTATATAAAACAACTAGCTGACCCAGCGAACTTCGTACCGCCGTAAAAAATAGGGGTTGTCCAGCGGACAAAATTGTGAATCTAAACCATTCTCAGATCCCCTTGAACACACACAAAAAATTTCATCAAAATCGGTCCAGTCGTTTAAGAGAAGTTCAGTGACATACACACTCACAGAAGAATTATATATATAAAGATAAGTAATTTTTGTAATTTATGCAAAATAAACGTTTTTATTATTATTATTTGTTGAGTGTTTTTCTTCTCAGCTCTTTGGCTGGTTTTTACTACAATTACGGGCCGAAACCAAGTAAGTGCAGCATGTGTTGTGTTTGATTATGTTGTACTATTGTGATGAGAACCTATTTCGTTTTCATCTATTTGCAAGAACTTTCTGACAATGCGACATGTATTTAAAATTGCAGCTTTTTGGAGGGTGATATAGAGGGTTTCTTTTAGATTTATTAATTTAAGGCTATGGAGAAGGTGATTTGGAATGACGCCTGTTGTGGAGAGGACTATAGGGACCACGTAAACTTTTTGTTGACGCCATATTCTAGTTACTTCATCTTTGAGTTCTAAGTATTTACTATTTTTTTCAGATATTGTCTTCTGGATGTTATGTGTGTTGGGAACAGCTATATCTATTAGGTAAGTAACTTTATTTATTTTGTCCTGTAAGGTTATATCCGGTCTATTGTGTAGTCGGTCTAAAGTTTATGTGTGTCATTTTCTAAGATAGTTTGTGGTGTGTAATTGTAGTAAGGAGTGTTTAGGTCTTGTATGAGTGTGTGTTTGAGTGCTAATTTTTGATGAATTACATTTGCTACCTGATTGTGTCTATGCGTGTAGTCTGTCTGCGTGAGAGTTGTGCACGCTCCTGTTATGTGTTGAATTGTTTCCGGTTGAATGTAAAATTTGCGACATTTATCGTTTGTTACTGATGGATCTTTGATAATAAATTTTCTATAATTTTTTGTGTTAATAACCTGGTCTTGTATCGCAATTATAAATCCTTCAGTTTCTGGGAATAAATTGCCTATTTTAAGAAACTTATTTGAGGCTAGTTGGTTTACATGGGATTGTTCTAGGTCATGAGGATGTCGGCCATGAAGAACCTTTTTCTTCCAGTCTTCAATTTTTTGTTTCTGCGGGTCATCGCTAGTATTTTGTGGAGTATCTAGCTGTTTATTTAAGTTAAGTGGGGTGTAGTTAGAATCATTTTGAACTATGGCTTTGTGTATGTTACTAGTGCGAGCTTTTGACTGAAAGAATGTTTTTAGTCGATAGACTTGTTTCTGCCAAAGGTGCTGGATGTCTATTAGGCCTCTCCCTCCGTTTTGCCTTTTAATAGTTATCCTTTCTATTGCAGATTTAGGGTGTAAATTGTTATGTTTTGTAAGAGTGGTGCGTGTGGTTCGTTCTAATTGTTCTGCGTCTGTTTTTGTCCATTTAATAACTCCGAATGAGTATGTTAGTATGGGGATGGCAAATGTATTAATGGCCTTGATGAGATTTTTACTAGAAAGTTGTGTTTTACATATTGCGTTAAGTCTCCTTTTGTACTCTGTAGTAAGTGTTTCTTTAATCCTAACATGATCTAGTCCCTTTAGTTGCGTGTACCCTAAATATTTATATAAATCGGTCGGTTCCATTGCTGTTATGGTGTCTGTGTTTTTTACAACATAGTTGCCAGGTCGAATCTTGCCACGCATTATATGAAGTGTTTTGCATTTATCCAGACCAAATTGCATGTTTATATCTAAGCTAAACTCTGCTGTAGCATCTACTAATTTCTTCATATCTTTTTTAGTTTGTGCATATAATTTAATGTCATCCATATAAATGAGATGGGAGACTATTGTTTGTTCTGTAGTGTGTTCGAGACAATATCCGACCCGACAGCGCTGCAGTAGATGAGATAGAGGGTTTAGCGCAAGACAAAACCATAGGGGACTTAGTGAGTCACCTTGGTAGATACCCTTTTTAATGGATATTTGTCGCGTTGTAATATTGTTGTGATTGCAGTTTATTTGAAGTATGGTTTTCCAAAGTGGCATTATGTTTCGTAGGAAATCTATTATTTTTGAGTTTATCCTATAAATTTCTAGTATTTTCATTAACCAAGAGTGTGGAACACTGTCGAAAGCTTTTTTATAGTCTATGTATGTACAATGAAGATTTCTATTCTTTGTGGTGGTATGTTTATGGATAGTAGAATCAATGATTAACTGCTCTTTGCATCCCATATGGCCTCGCCTGCATCCCTTATGTTCCTCTGCCATTATGTTGTGGTGTTCTATGTGTGAGTTAATTTTCATTGTTATAGCTGAAGTTAGTATTTCATATATCGTGGGTAGGCATGTGATTGGTCTATATTGGGAAGGTTGTGGTGAGTTTTTAGTTTAAGGCAACATGTATGTTATACCTGTAGCAATAAAGTCAGGTATATTTTGTTGTCCTAATATCATTTTTGTTAAGTTTCTTGCTATGGGTTTATATAAAATAGTTAATTTTTTGTACCAAAAATTGTGTATTTTGTCAATGCCAGGCGATTTCCAGTTATGTAATCTGCCTGTTACGTGTGTGATATCGGTCTCTGTAATCTCTACAAATTCCATTTCCTCTATTGCCCTCCATTTTCTTTCTTCTTCTGTTATCCACATTGCTTTGTCATTATGTTGTTCTTGTTCTCCCCAAATGCTAGACCAATATATTTCAAGTTGTTCTTTTGTAGGTTGGTTAGGTGCGTCTATGTCATTTTCATTATTTGTGTCGGTTTCTGGTTTCTGTAGGTTTCTATAAAATATTTTTTCATTAGTAGCGAATATGGCATTATCGTTTTTGCGCTGTTGTGCTTTTTTGTATCTTCTGAGTCTATGAACTTTAAGAGCTAGTTTTTGTTTTAAGGTATCTAAGAACTCTTCAGGTGTTCTATTGTTATTTTCGTGTCGGGTATGCGTGACACTGCTCCTGAATATAGCCTCAACTCTCTTTACTACTTTACTTGACCTGATGTTGTTAATGTATTGTGTGAGTCTACCACAATCTGCTCTTAATTTTTCTATATCTTTTTCTAACCTGTTGCCATGCTGGTTTGATGTTTTGTTTTGGTGTTGTATTTCCTGTGTGTTGCGTGATTTTAAAGTTAAGTTCTTCGGATACGACTACCGCTGTGCAATATATAAGTGTGTGTATATCTAACAGTTGTGTATCATCGGAAATAAATTGATGAAGTATGTTTTCATTAAATAAATGAATTAACCGGAAAAGATTAGGACTATATCGAAGTTTAGGTAGTTTTGGTTGAACTGCTGGGTCCATCCCTGAAAACTGGGCTAGGGTTGTTCTAAATTTGTCAAGTATTTCTTGGATACATATATCTGCTGTTAGATTTTGATCCGCAATGGTTACGGTCTCAATATCATTTTCTAAAGTTAGGATTATCGATTCGGTTTGTGTGGATGTATGTGATGTTTGTGTAAGAACTTGCGATTGGTTGTATGTTTGTGATTGCGTATATAGTGTTACTTGGACGTGCGGTTGTGAGTGTGATTGTTCAGCAGTTTTAATTGTGTTTAGTGATAGTGGGATAGCGTCAACACTTATATTATTTTCTGCTTCTTGTAGTTGTATTCGTGTTTCTTCTTTTAATTGTTCTATTATTTCTTGGGATAAAAGTTTGTTTCTAACTATAGCTCTTCTTCTTTCAGGATATTGTCGTGTAAAAAGTTCATGCAATTGTTGTCTGTAGGTGGTCATGTCGGTCTCTAATTTAGTGATATAAAAGTAAGTTCGCATGATAAATAGGTTAACTTCTTTGCTCCATTTCATGCGAACTCTTGCTTTTCCAGCCTTGGTGGACGCGGGTAAAAAGGAACTAACCTCCCGCGCAACATTCAAGGCCGACGTGTGTGGAATTAAAGTTAAACTTGTAATGGGAGGTGATGATAGTATAGGTGACGATGGTATAGATGGTGATAAGGGTTTAGATGGGGTGTAAAATACTGTGCTTGGACTATACGGTTCTACAGGGGTGTTTGTCCTGTCCGTTAATCTGTCACAATGTTATCCAATATCTTCCCAGTGTTAAGAACCTGGGTTTACTTATCGATGCTTCTCTCAGCTGGGAAGAACATGTTAATGTGGTTAGTCGCAAGGTAATTAACACACTTCGAGCACTATAATCGCTTAAAACACTTTCTCCCTTCCAGTACCAAAGTCGCTCTCGTTCAGGCTCTTATTATTCCCATCGTCGACTACGCTGACATCTGCTATTCTGACATCAATCAAATCCTTCATATCAAATTGGATCGTTTGCTCAACAGCGGTATTCGCTTCGTCTTTGGGTTATGTAAATACGACCACATCTCTTCTTTTAGAAAACAACTAAACTGGTTGCCTATTTGTGACCGAAGAAACCTTAGATTACTTTGCATGCTTTTCAACCTTTTATACGTTCCACATGCTCCAGAGTACCTGAAATCTAGATTTCAATTTCTGGGCACTTCCAACCATCGTGTTCTTCACTCGTGCAGAAATCTTACTCTACAAATCCCCACTCATCACTCTGGCTTTGGATCCAAATCTTTCACTGTTACTGCCATACGCCTGTGGAATGCTCTACCACTCAACATTCGCAGCTCTAACAATAAGATGGAGTTCAAAAAACTAGTGCGTGAACACTTCCTGACCTGACTACGCAATCTCTTCTTTCTTGTTATTATTTATAGTTTGTATCTATTTATATATTATACTAGCTGACTCGGCGAACTTCGTACCGCCCAAAAGTAATAATTTGCAATAAATTAAAATTGCGACTATAATTTGAGATTTAAACTATCCTATCTCTCAAGTTGGATCGAACTGCACATGGTGTGCGAATTTTATTATAATCGGTTAAGTGGTTTAGGAGTCCATTGAGGACAAACATTGTGACACGAGATTTATTTAAATTAAGATTTATTGTATTTTATGTATGTATATATTTATTTATGTATTTTATTTGTGTAGTTTATGTAGGTGTATCAAATTAAGTATAAAAATATTAATATATTTTAATCCCTGTTATTTTCTAAATGTTTTATTATAAAGCTTTTTGCCCTATCGCCATACCATTTGTCTCTAACACTCGTTCAGGTTGACTGGTAGAGAATGCCTATGGCATTAAGTCCGCCGTCTGCATATGTATGGCAATGAAGTTTAAATAAATAAATAAAATAAATAAATATTTAGGTTGCACTGTTTATATAATATAAAACTAGAATAAATTTGCTTTGCTTTGGCAACAAAAAATATATTAATATACTTGCTACTTGGCAATCAGAAATTATATAATTTTATATTATAATTATTATTAAAACAACAGGGATAAAATAAATTATAGTTTTTTGGCAAACAATTTACAATTAAGAGTACTACATCCCATAATAATTTGAAGTCTGCAAGAGACTCACTACCACCCTTCTACAAATTTGAACCGTCTCCTTTGCAATACTTATTCATACTTATACCAACCTTTCAAACTCATCACTATTAGAGAAAATTATGTTTGGACTATCCAATACCATTTCACTGTCAATAGGATATGTTTCCCTTTTAATTTTGTCATACACCAAAGTAAGCTCTAATTTCTTTTCACGTATGAGTGTATAATTTATTCCCAGGTACATAAGTACATATAATTTATGGATTGCTATACGAGCCAAATCTGACAGTCTGTAACAAGGGCCAGCCTTCTCAGCCATGCTGAAATTAAGACAACCAATATAGGTAAAGTAATTAAAATTTGCCTGGATACAATAACTCTACTTATCTCTGATAGAGAAGCAAGTGCTAAGAAGCAATAGAATGCTTTCTACATTTGCATCTATATTAATAACAAACAACATAATGTGTCTTCAAAGAGTTTAAAATAGTATTCACAGAAACATTGCAAATGCAACATGGTTCAAACAGCGACATCCATTAGAACTAAGATATTCCTATCATAGTAGACAAAATACAAGGTTGTAAGGTAAGAGGGGTGCGGGTATGAGTCCCGTCTGCTGCCTGGATTGGCAGAATCATTTCTAGTAAAATTGTCTTTAGATTTTAACTATCTAGCATTTTATACTTTGCCTAGATAATGTATTCCAGCATGTACGCTATACAATCACTAGGAATTTAGTGATTGTATAGTGTACATGCTGGCCAACTGGAAATACGGAAAATAAACAGATTTAGCCTGTATTTTCTGTGATTTACACCTAGTATACCCAGTTGAATATAAAATGACAGACAGATCTTATAATTCTCACCAAATGAATAGCAAACCAAAGAACTTTTGAACAACTCACAGTGGGTTAGGTTAAGTTAGTGCTGTGACCTAAACTAGTGACCGGATAGATAAGAGCTAAATAAATCAAGGAAAAGTAGATCTTCTCTTACACACATTACGAACTGCGCATTCGGCCTTGTATAAAATAGCTAGGCAAAGTATAAAATTAATAATATTTCATACATTGCCTTGACGTTTTTGGCATTCTTTAAATTGCCTAGGTATTGTATAAAATGCCAAAATATACAGATTGCCAGTAACATATACAAATCTATCCTCACATTTTCAAAACTCTTTTGGAGTTGTCCGTAGAACTGCCTGTGAAGAATTTGTCAATTGGTTTTCTTTTGCTATAACTTTTTAGTGCATCTATAGCATCTTGCTTGTTTGTTATATTGGTTAATTTTAGGTCCTTGCAAATCTGTTTCATATCCGTAGCATTTAGGACTGCAGTATAATCATCAAATGTCAATAAAGTCTTATCTGTAAAAAGAAACTTGCAATATTAGAACTGTTTTGAATTACAGCAAAACAGATATTATATGTTGAATAAAACACAGTTGGTGGTATTTATTATTATAGAAATTATATCTTCACAATTGGAAAGTATATTTTATTGATTGTTGCCCATAACTCAAGATCAGATTTATTTATGATTCTCTTCAGGCTTCTGTACCTTAACTCAATAGGAAAAATGGAAGCGTTATTTGTTTTCATTGTTATTTTGTAAGATGTCTATTTGTGTTGAAATTTATATCATAGACTTAGGTTTATGGTCCCTTATAGATGTAAAAAAAAATTACCATTTATTTTGCATACCTGTAAAATATCACACTTTTCCAGATTTTAATAGAAAATTTCTCTTTTTGACAAACAATACATACCATCAGTGCCTAAAATCAGTTGGCCCTCTGTTAGTGATCTGAGAACTTTAATGAATTTCACATCATCTAATTCCTCCTTTTCTCCATCTTTTGCTTTTCCTCTTAGTATTGATTTGATAGTTTCCATATTATACCAGCTCTCTTTACGCCAAAACAGCCTACAAACCAATCTCATCCCTGGCTTCAAAATGTGCATGCATTTTTGTAAAATTATTTGTGAATTTTCATTCAACAAATATTTAACAGAATTTTCATTTAGATATTGATCAATGATTTTTATTAAAAATATTGCTGGAAATACATAATCTCGTTAAAGATATTCTATATTTTGTAAATATATAAAATACTAGCTGACCCAGCGAACTTCGTACCGCCCTAAAAAAATAGGGGTTGTCCAGTGGACAAAATTGTGAATCTAAACCATTCTCAGATCCCCTTGAACACACACAAAAAATTTCATCAAAATCGGTCCAGTCGTTTAAGAGAAGTTCAGTGACATACACACTCACAGAAGAATTATATATATAAAGATATATTAATCATAACTCAAAACTTACTTTTGTCATCCATGCCTTCACAAGCATTTTGGAATATGTCACTACTTTTGGTTGGAGATGCCGAAGCCTTTATATGATAACTTTTAAATAACTCTTTTCTTGCAGGACTTTTTTGCGACACTGCTCTTTTCTTGCTAGGTGAATAAAATTTATTAATAGAGCCAGGACTTCTTACTTTCAAAGTGGCATAAGAGGGTGTTGATACCTTTGATGGTGTTGATACCTTTGATGGTGTTGACACCTTTGATGGTGTTGATACCTTTGAAGGTGTTGATACCTTTGATGGTGTTGATATCTTTGATGGTGTTGATATATTAATTGGAGAGCTCACCAACACAGGTGAGTAAATCACCGTTGCTTGTGAAGAATCAGAGATATCAGGACTATCTAATGCATTTTTTTCATTTGTGTCCAAAGATGCACTTAAGTCTTCGTCTTCACTGCACAAATCTATTACTTCACGTTCATTTATGTCATCTTTATTTATCTTTGATAATTTACTTGGTGTCACAGATTTTCGTAAACTTAGGTTACGTTTTCTTACTACTTTATTTTGTTCCATATTTAAAATAGATCTAGGCAAATTTCTCGATTTAAAGTATTTGGTAATTGGTAATTGTTGAGTCATGTTTATATGTGTTTTCTGTACATTCAATGAATTGATATTTCTAGTTTTTAATTAAACTCTTGATAATGAAAAACATGATTGTTTATCAAGGGCGGCACGGTGAAAGACTTGTAGATTGTAGTACCAATTATAATACTAAAATTAAGTATTTCAATCCGCTATTTATTACTCTGTAGGGATGTTCCGATACAAGTAAATACGAGTAGGTACTCGATACTTTTGATTCGATACCAAGTATTTATAGCATCGAATCAATCTTGCGATAAATACTCGGTATCGAAACAAAAGTACTTGGTATCAAATCGAATCAGCATCACAATTTAAAAAAGATAAATTTCCGGACGCAGACAGTATGAGAGAGCAAAAGCCCTTTCGCTCGGTTACGGGTATTCATCGCATAGCGTTGTGGCTGCGCCAGGCGAGCCGAACTCGTCCGACTTCATCCGAGCCCGAGCCGAAAACGAGAGAGCTGTCCGCCCGCCATGTAAGTTGTCATCATTGTCAACATAATGAATTTTCAAACTGTCAAGTCAAGATTTAATTTGAATATACAAATGATTGTTTTCAAGTAATTTTATTTATTGTAATCATCGGATTATTATTCCCATGTTATCATGGCACCACCAAAATCAATAAAATTTTACCAAAACAAACGAAACAATTGCAAAATGTAAACAATGTTTTAAGTCAGTGAATTCTGTGTGAATTTTGGATAAAGGCAAATTAGAGAAAAAGCAAATAAAGAGACCAATGAAAGGTAGGATCCTATACTTTTCTTTTTTGCGACTGCTCTCCTAAAATGTTAAATAATCCCTTTGAATTCCTAAAATGTTAAAAAAAAGTGATGCAAAACATTTATATTCTCGTTTTTTCTCACTTTTGTTTTAATTTTTGTTCTTCGACGTTTATTTTTTTTACTTTAGTTTCCTCAAAGTAAAAAATAATTAAAAATAAGTGCTAAAAGTATCGATATCAGTAAGTATCGATACTTTAGGAGTATTTATTTAAGTAATATCGAAAAAAGATTTGAGTACTATCGAAAGAGTAGGTATCGATACCTTGATGGTATCGGAACATCCCTATTACTCTGTTCCAAACTCATTTTAGTGTATATATATTATTCTATGCTCATTTTGGACCAACAATAGCACAGAACAATATACTCTCTACGAGAGAACAACACAGATCACTATATATGTAGGAGAACAAAAGTAAACTAAACAATTTTTTTTTAATTATTCATAACCATGGATACAAGTCCTTCAGTCTTATACATAAATACAAATCTTAATTTTCTTTTTTTTATTTACATTAGATTGACGGTGTGACGCGTTCTATTGTTTTTTGGAGTGTTTAGCACGAAATGTATCGAGTTGGTTTTTTCGATAAGCTTCTGTGAGGTAGTCAACACTACAATAAAGTTCTCACGTCCACATGATCGGAATAGCGTATGTTTTAAAGTTTCCACTAATTCTCCAGTTGCGCAGATGGTTGTAACACAAAATCACACCAATTTTATTTCACAATATCCACTATGAACGAATTTACGAATAATTGAAATAAGACACTAACCGCACTCGATGAAATCCCGCCAAAAACTCCTAACCTTTATTTATTTATTTTTTTATTGGCAATGGAGACCTAAACAAACAGTGTGACCAACCTTAAATTAGAGATCCTGCCCCGCTTAGGCAAAAAAAAAAACTGACAAATCCTGCCATAATTTTAGGCGCAAAATGCCGAAATAATGCCCATATATCAACAACACTGATCTGTCCTTTTTTATGACATTGACAAGTTGGCGCCGCTATCAATACAGGTAGTTCCAATTTTGCCCCGCTGGAGAAGGGAGGGCGCTACTATGCATACTAAGGTTGCTTTCCAATTACAGAGCATAATGCGACTCAGTGCCGCACAATGCCGAATTATGCTGATGCTTAATTGGAACGTGAATTAGTTTTCAAATGCACCAGCAGAGTGCGCTAAGTTCAGTGTTGAAAAAAAAAGTCAATGTTTGTACCTTCATCCATACTTATATTTATTTTTTTAACAGTTTGAATTAACTTTGATTGTTAAAAAAAAACTATTTAATGAAACGAAAGCTTTAATAAATAATATTACTTACGATAACATATATAATGCGATTCAACTAACAATAGGATCGACTGGGCGCCATTTTGTGATGTCAAAGCTGTCAATTGAAACAAAATAGGTAGAGTGAGCAATAACAGTTTTTCTTCGATAAAACTTATTTACTAAGATTAAGTGAGAAAAAACATCAGCTTTTATTAATAAATTTTTTTTTAATAAGATTGAGAAAAAAAAACACCGGTTTTTAATAATATTTATGACTGTGTGACTAAAAATATTAATCGGAATCTAGCTCTTCAATTCCGCTCAGCTCTGCATAACAACCGGAGTTGTCATCGTCGTCATGTTTGTTTACAAATGTTTGGTTTTTTTATCTGAGTGAGTCTGAGAGTCTAGAATTAGCTGAGTGCTAAAAAAGAGTTCCAAGATTTTTTGCAAACCGTACTTTTCAAGCGTCATTTGACAGATGGAGGTCATTGGCTTTCCTATTCTTATTTGAATCGCATTATAACTATAACATTTCGATCAATGCCAACTTAAAGAAAAAACACTTGTTAATTTTCTGTCACTGGGTTGGTACGATTGCACGCATCACACGAAAGCATTACTTTTGAGAGTGCTCAATTGTGCGAAGCGTTGCTGTAGTTGGAACACTCAACGTTAGGCCGTATACAGAAAGAAAGCCGAAAGCCGATCGGCGCCGATCGGCGCTTATCGGCGCCGATCCTTCCTACAGAAAGGAAGCCGATTAAAGCAGATCAAGCAAAATGTCGGACTCATCGGACGATGATTTGGTTTTGTTAGAAAATATTTATTTAAAAATGCGAAAAACAGCTATACATCCTATAAATAGAGAAAGGAAACGTTTCGGAGAATACCATATTTATTTGTAAAAAAAAAAAATTGATGAACAAAGATTTTATACATATACAAGAATGATTCAAGAAACATTTTATTACATTTTGGATTTAGTGAAAAACCGTTTGATGAAAAATTGGGGCAATTGGCATAAACAACCAATCCTTCCAGAAGAAAGACTTGTTGTCACCATTCGGTAAGTACGAAACAAATAATTTTAGCGCTTAGTTAATAAAAGATAAAGTTATTAGATTTATAAAAAGATTATAACTTAGATTGATTTAATCTAAGGATAATAATTCAAATACAAATTATTTATTATTCGGACCAGCGCGTGTCGGCGCTTATCGGCGCCGGTCCATAGAAAAAGGATCAGCGTCAATAGGCGCCGATAAGCGCCGATCGGCGCTGATCGGCGCCGATCGGCTTTCGGCTTTCTTTCTGTATACGGCCTTAGGGTGCGGCCAGAGTGCACTCAGATTCAGAGTCAGATTCAGATTCTGAAAACAAGCGCGAGAAATAAACAGTGTAGTCGAAGGGTACGGCCAGATTGCACTCCTGATTCAGATTCAGATTCAGACTCAGAAAACAAAGCGCGAGAAAAAGCAAGCAACCTAAGGGTGCGGCCAGAGTGCACTCAGATTCAGACTCAGATTCAGATTTCGAAAACAAGCGCGAGAAATAAACAGTGTAGTCTAAGCAGGTTGCTTGCTTTTTCTCGCGCTTTGTTTTCTGAGTCTGAATCTGAATCTGAATCAGGAGTGCAATCTGGCCGTACCCTTCGACTACACTGTTTATTTCTCGCGCTTGTTTTCAGAATCTGAATCTGACTCAGAAAACAAGCGCGAGAAATATACAGTGTAGTTTAAGCAGGTTGCCTGCGGCCACTATGGCCATCCTGCTTTAATTACACTGTTTATTTACCCTTAGGGTGCGGCCAGAGTGCACTCAGATTCAGATTCAGATTCAGATTCCGAAAACAAGCGCGAGAGAAAACAAGTGCTTTTTCTCGCGCTTTGTTTTCTGAGTCTGAATCTGAATCGGAATCAGGAGTGCACTCTGGCCGTACCCTTCAACTACACTGTTTATTTCTCGCGCTTGTTTTCAGAATCTGAATCTGAATCTGAGTGCACTCTGGCCGCACCCTTAAGCATTATGCCGCTTAATGCGCTATAATGCTGTAATTGGAAAGCTACTTAAGTTCCTATTTTTTGTCACAGGACTGTTCAGTGTTGTTGCACTATACAATTTTGTATACTACTACGCGATATAATCGTTCATATTGACGTTTCATGGTATTATGATAACCATTCGACACACCGCACGAAATCAGAAACAAAATAAAATTTTGTCTGCGACAGTTTTTCTAATCCGACTAATTACATCAACAACTGACAAATAAAAATAATGGTAGGTAATATAAACATTATGCTTCATACTTTAAGGTTTACAATGGAATGAACTACAAATTCGACTAGAGATGTTATGGGAAATCCTCGAAACAAAGGTATGGTTGCCAATGTTGCCATTGGCATTTTAAAATTCCTACATACTGTTTTTTCTTTTGTCGATCCGCACCCTACTCATTAAATAAATAAAAAAAAAGCTTAAATTGCTTTAAACTGCTAAATACTGCCATATTTCTAAAACGTCAAACAAATATGCCACAGCGTAAAAAATAAATGGCTAAACCTGCCGAAAAGGCAGGATCCTGCCACATATGGTTACCCTGATAGGTAGATCTTTTTTTTAAGTTCTCCTCTTTTCTGGGAAGGCAAGGGGAACAATACCCATACAGCCTGGTCTTTTAGCTTATTTATTTTTGTATATAAATACGGCTTTGGAGAAAAAGGTATGTCCTGTAAGCGTGCCTGTATGTAAAGGTAAGTAAGGAGGTATGTCCATAGAAAATTTAATGATGGGGATTCATAGAGCCTTATCAAAATTAATTGATCAATTGAATGATCAAATACTTAGAAACTGCTAAAGATATGTATAATACATATTAAATACGTGAGATAAACTCAGACCAAACAAAAAGTAAAGACGGAGTTCTGCCAATAACAAAGTGAAGCCGGTTTTTTAGTATGTAGTACATTAGCCAGTGTTACAGGAACCCCAGACACGGTAATAATATCATACAGTATTCTATCTTCATACAAACGGTCGGAAAGCGAGTCATTCATACCTACGCCACTCGAGTTCGATGTGCTCTCGGCGGGCACCCAGTCCCGCAACGACGACTGAACGGTCTGAATTGTTTTTTATGCAGTTAGCCGTGCTTAAACGTGCGTTTTGTATTGTAAATATTTGATTTAATTAAGTAGATACCTACATAATTTAGTATGGAAAAGAACAAACGACGGTCAATATCGTACAACAGCACAATTGCTGTTTTTGGTTGCTTGAACTCTTCAATAACACACCCAGAGATATCATTTTTAAAATTACCTGAAATATTGGAAAGGTGTCTTACCTTTATAGAATATTTTTTATATACCTATCTACTAGTACGTTATTTGTTTCTAATATTAGGTATTTCGATTTTTCCATCGGGCAAAATATCTGGAATAATATATAAATAAGTGGTTAGGATGAAAAAAGAGACAAACGAGTTATCTACCTACACTCGCGTTAAAAACAAAACTACATAAAATACTGTAGGCTGGCGGCCCCACAGAACATAGAAAGAGGTTTCTCTTTCTTTCTGTGTTCTGTGGGCGGCCCTACCGCGTGCTGACGCAGCGCTCGGTGTAGGCATTTATTTTCAAGGACAGGGCGGAGTCACAATACTGTATAGATCACAGAACACAGAATGTTCTGTGGTATAGATAATATTACCGTGCCCCAGATCTCCAAACACATTTTATGTTTTTTTTTTTTAATGTAGTTGTAGCTAAATAAGCTATGTTACTAGAGTAGGACGTTTAAACGAGAAGCACCTATTTAAGCATGCATTTATATTTCCTTATTATGTTTATTTGCTAACTGCTTATTGTTTGTACAAGTCCCACCATGTATCATGTTGTGGTAGAACTACTTGCTTCAGTTTCCCCATTTTGACGTATTATGCTTCTAAATTAAAGCAAACCAATACGCAACTTTGTTTGGTTGGTTAATGGATGCTTTCCTTCTTTGAAGTTTTTAAACGGAAAAAATAAGCATAAGCAGTCTTTCAATACGCAACGATTTACAAACTCGACTTTTATTATCGCGTGTCGCATCTTGCGCTCTGAGATGGTAAAAGATATAGTGTAATATAAAAGCGTGGGAGTATGGTATTTTATAATTTTATTTGTTGTTATAATAGAATGTACAAAAAACCTGGATATAAAATTTACAAATTTTGAAAATATACCTCATTTTACCTAACTAAACGACTTTTTTTATCTTTCCTGAGTTTACCGTAACGTAATAAAAATAAATTATATATATAAAATTTTATGGAGAATCCAAATACACGTTTGTGAAGGGTATCTGTCAAGGACGACGCGACTACAGCTTAGAAGAGGCTCACACGATTGGCCGACTACCGTTCCGACCTAGCGCGAACTGCGAGCAACCGACGACGCAACTGCGGCGGGGCGCGGGGGGAAACGCACGGGATAGATCAACTACCGCTCTGACTTAGCGCTAACTGCGTACTCATAATCTTAGATATAAGTAGGGTCATTTTGTCATTTTTCGGTGCTGTGTACACTACACAGCCTCCCCGCACGCACGATGCCACCACCACCACGAGTCCGCATCGATTGGGACACGTACCAGCGGACGGCAGCAACCCAAACCACGTCATGCCCCATTAACACCCCAGCAGACGTTGAGGCA